ACTACATTGCCTTTTGTATTTGTTCAATCGACTAAGCCCTCAAAATAGAGTACGGATAGTCGTTACAAGTGGTTAGTATTTACGTGATTATAGATAGTAGAGATAATGAAATTCGAACATGGAGATCATACGTCATTGATAGGAGAAAAGCTCTCCCAAAACTTTTCTATGGTCGCTTGTATTTGCATTGTCTAATACACTTGTAAATTATTTTAATGTCCTTGTTTTTTTTGCAGCAAACTGGGTAAGCTCTCTTTTGGCTGCGGGTGCCCTTTTCGGTGCCCTGCCCTCCGGATTTATAGCTGATACGATCGGGCGGCGCTATACCGCCATGGTCATGGACGTGCCCTTTATTTTGGCCTGGCTTTCGATCAGTTTCGGCCAGACAGCCGGCTGGCTGTATGTGGGAAGATTTTTGATCGGTAGGTGGCTTAACATGCTTTACTGGAATACTACTACTAATACTGACCTTATTCCAGGTATATCCACTGGCAGCTTCTGCGTGGTGGCCCCCATGTACATATCGGAGATTGCGGAGACCAGCATTCGCGGCAGCCTGGGCACTTTGTTCCAGCTGCTCCTCACGATCGGCATTCTGTTCGTTTATGTGGTGGGCGCTGTGGTCCCGTGGACGACCCTGAGCATGCTCTGCCTTCTCATACCAATCCTGCTCCTAATCGGTCTGTTTTTTCTGCCCGAAACTCCAGTCTACCTGCTTAAAAGGGTATGTGGGCTGGGAAAACCATTTATAACTATACCCGTTCATTCATTGAAAATCATGTTGGTAGAAGGTAGAAGGAAGCGTTTCCGACCCTATAAACTATATATATTTTTGATCAGGATAAATAGTCGAGTCCATCTAGCCATGTCCGTCTGTTTTTTCGTCGGTTTATTTCAAAACGGAGTCACGTCGTTTTATGACATGTAAGACCTTACCTGTGAAATGTTTCGGTCATATTCATCGTTAGACTAATTAATTTTCAAAATTGTGTTATTATTTTTGAAATAGTTATTAGTTATTAAGTCCTCTGTCCTGCTCTGCCGCCGCTCTCCCGCTGCTCTGCTGCCGCTCTACCGGTAATTGCTGATGCAGAGAGACAGAACGAAAGAACTTTTAGCGGGGGGTGAACGCTCTTAACTTTTAGTGTTGGCTGTACAGTTCGACAGTTGGCGCCACATAAGCTCCAATTGTTTTGTGGTGAAATATTTAGTTTGAAGTTTGTAAGCTAAGTAACGGGTATCTAACAGTCGGGAAACTCAACTAAAGCGGTCTTTCCTGGTTCTTTGAAAGACTATATAATGTATTTACCTACTTTTTACTTAATTTTGTCTTGCAGGGCGATCGCGCCGAGGCCAACCGCTCGCTGAAATGGCTGTGGGGTAAGTACTGCGACAGCCGCACGGCCATCCAGACGATCCAACACGATCTGGACAACTCCGGTGCGGACGCCTCCATCATGGATCTGTTCAGCAATCGCGCCTCCCGCAACGGCCTGGTAATCTCCGTGCTCCTGATGGTGTTCCAGCAGTTCTCGGGCATCAACGCGGTGATATTTTACACAAACCAGATCTTCAAGTCGGCCGGCAGCACTCTGGACCCCAACGTGTGCTCCATAATCGTGGGCGTGGTGCAGGTGATCATGACCCTGACCTCCTCGCTGCTGATCGACAAGGCGGGTCGCAAGATCCTGCTGATCGCCAGCAGCTCGATCATGACCGTCTGCCTGGCCATGCTGGGTGCCTACTTCACGATCAAGGCGAACGGAGGAGCCGCCTCCATCGGCATGCTGCCCCTGATCTGTGTGGTGTGCTTCATCGTCAGCTTCTCGGTGGGCTACGGGCCCATTCCCTGGCTGATGATGGGCGAACTCTTCCTGCCGGACGTGAAGGGCACCGCCGTCTCCCTGACCGTCATGATCAACTGGGTGTGTGTGTTCGTGGTGACCTGGTGCTTCGGCTCGTTGCGGTCCTTGGGAGACGATGTGCCCTTCTGGTTCTTTAGCGGCTGCATGGGTGTGGCCACTGTCTACGTGGCCCTCGTCCTGCAGGAGACGAAGGGCAAGAGTGCCAGCCAAATCCAGAGCTGGCTGAGCGGTCGCTAGGGAATCCCTTCTGGATACCGCTTCAGTTATTCTAGCTAAATGCCATTGAACTCGTAGGTGGATAAGCTGAAATGCCAAAAAGTAATGTAGGAATTTGGAGGGTCTTGATTTAATACCTTTGCAAGGAAGATGATGCTTCTCCTCAATTGATTTTCATTTCAAAAACAACAACTCACGCAGGAAAATAATCATTAAGCAAAAGTAATTTTTTTTTATTTTCACTTATAATTCCATCGAAATCTAAGAGAAGCCATTATATACATTATCTTTTGCAAAGGTATAGAAAAAACCATTTCGGATCTAAGGACAATAATATGCAAAATGTACAACTTAACTTATTAATGTTCCACAATGTTCATAGTGTTTGAATTGTCTTCAATGCTTACGTTTAGTGTAGTTCAACTAGTTCCTAAGTACTCATGGTTACGCCCACTTAATGATCTAAGATTCGACGGAGTTTCAACCTGTTTGGTACTCTCCTTTTTGTATAAACTTCCTGCTGTACGTGAATGTACGTTAAGATGGCAAAGACATATACCTATACATACACTTACGTGTACTTATTATAATAAATGTACATATATTTGATAATAAACGTAAATTATACAGAAATCATAGTGTTTGTGGGTCAGATTGATAACGATAATAAAAGCAGCGCCAGGGTACGCCCCTTAAAATGCGAAATTAGATCACTATCAGGCGCTTCCAATCTATCGGCTGGACGTTGGCGACAGGCCACGCCCACTCCTGGCGCCACAGCTCGTCGACTTTCCAACCCCCATACCAATCCCAATTCCCACCCCCTTTCCACGGTCAGTGTGAAGGTCATCGGGGGCTGATTGATTGATCGACATCGCAATCGCTAGATCGACGCACAAAATGCAAATTGAAATCGTGCCAGCCGTAGTACAGGCTATCCCACTTTGTTCGATTGCCGGCATTTCTATGCAAATATTTAACGCAATTGCAGGAAGCCCATCGAAGCGTGTATTTGCTTGGATATTTGCTCACATGCTCAACAGGTTGTCCACAATCAACGAGCAGCTAAATACAAATGGCAAATAAAATAGTGATACTGCCGCTGGAGATCATTAGGTATATGTAGTTTACAGCTATTGCCGATACTTTGAATTGCCGTTCGACGTTTGAGTGTCTGGTAAATAAATTGGTATTATTGATTAGGGATTAGCTTGTACAGAATAAAGTGCATAAGTAAGATGTAAACAGGTGTGCAAATTATTCTTTATACAGAATAAACATTTTAAATGCAACAAAGTTAAAAATAAATACTGTTTAAGAATTTATTTCATCAATGTAACTTACACATATAGGGTTTTTTAAATCTTTAGGAATTGGCCATCAACTTCCTTTTATTTAAACATTTAATTTAAGTGCTACCAATAAGTAACCGTAAGACTATTCCAAAATTGTTTAGTCTTTTTTAAAAAATGGGTGTGAAATACTCTTAATAAATAGTGGTAGAGGAAGTATATATTTTGTATGTACATAAAAATATAATAACATTTACATGTATGTTAAATTTGTAAGACATATATTTACATGTGAATTAATAGTTTATAAATTTATTTGGAACAGTATATATTTGGGTTCGCAAATAGTTTTCCAGTCTTTTATATCTCAAAGACCAATACAGTTGTTATCAACGTGTATTACATGTTTGCACTATTAAGTTTGTTATCAAATAGCAATAAAACACTTTACCACTTTTGGTAGCTACTTTTTTTTTATGATAGAATTATTGATTTATGAGCTGTTTATCTCATACTAAGTGCTCTATTTGTTAGTTTATTTGTTAAAATAATAAATATTAATTAATGTTTATCCATATTAAGCATATTATCATTTTTACACCCTTGCACAGGGAAAATGAACAAAAATTATATTTTCGCTGGACAATATATAGATGCCAAAGGAACTATAGAACTATTCATAGACTTACTATTTTAAAAACATATATTTTTTAAAAACTGCAAGGGTGTATTAACTTCGACTTGCCAAACATTGCTTCCTTTTGTGTTAAGTTATATAAATGAGAATGTTCTAAAAAAGGAACCTGACAAAATGCAACTTATTTCCGATTTGGCAACAAAACGAGCCTCTCGTTTTTCCATTTACATAGTGCAACAAATCATTAATGTTTTTTCACATTACAAAATTTGTCAAGACGTGATAACCAGTTTGTAAAAAATGCTACTGCTGCTTGCAGCTTTATCATTATTCAGGCCCCCGAATGAAATTCACTTTCACGATTTAAATTTAACAGAATGTCGTAAATAAACGCACCGGCTTCTGGCTTGTAGTTCCCATGTATATCATGTGGCCGGTTCCGGATGGCGTTAACCAGAATCCCCGCTTCGCCGGGCCACGTCGATATAAGGCACTTAAAGTGCCTACACCGGAGACATTTCAATTAGCAGATGTGTGGGGCACGCACGTTATACGCCGACTAGTCAAGCGACTTAATTGTGTATGTACTAACTGTATTGATAAGGCATCGGAACAAGTCAATCCCCCGAATCGGGCCTGGTGCATGCTAATTAACTTCCTCGAGGCTGACTCACTCAATCGGCCAAATCGCTCTAAAGTTTTCCACTTCACAGTCCGGAACTAGAGGTCTCTGAACACCTAACCTGAACTTAAATGAGGTTTTTATAGGTTTGTTTATTTTTCTATGTCAAAAAAGGCTGCGAAAGCAGCGACCAATTGCCGACTAGGCAGACAAAGCGTTGATAAAAATCGCAAAAATTCCGAGCTCAACTCTCTCAGACGAGCTTGGTTCAACGGTCGGGCTTAATTCGGAATGATAGTTGTCCATGTCTGCGATAAGTCTGGTTCTCTACAGTGGCGTTTGTGTGAGTGAGCTTCCTCCACTCTGTATACAAATTGTATTATCTAGCCTCACTTGCGACTAAGTACGAGTATAAATGCGTCTGTCATAATTTTTGCATGCCCAACACAAAAGCGTCAAAACACCCGCGTTCCGACATCATTTCAATTCCGGCAGCCAGCCAAACAGTTAGCTCTGATCTCTGTGCAGTCCAGTTACTAAATTAATACTAAATTAATTCACACATTACGTATACGCCGCGTACTACAGCCAGACAGTGTTTCGTTGATTGCCCACTAATTGATAATTTCGGCTTCAAAATGGGTGAGTCGAACGACCTAGTAAATAAGTGTATCACCAAAGTGTTTGTTTTTGGTCAACATTGATTTGATACCCCGCTGACGAGTGCTGATAAATTGATCATGAAGTGTTGCCATGAATTATTATAAATATTAAAAATGATAATAACCTGCGATCCGATTAGGGCCAATACCACCCGCATTATCGCTGTGAACATGAAAGAAGTTTATGAGATAATGTTTCCTCAAAACATTTTGTTAGTTTCCATTTGATTTCGCAGCGTTCGGTACACGGCTTGTTGTTAACTGTCCCCAAGGGTTCAGAAAATTCCTTTCTTAGGTAAACTAAAATTAAGTTCAAAATAAAATCTATTAAATAAAATAAAGTAGAAGTTTCATGTAAAGAACCTATATTTAAAAGTTGTAAAACAAATTTCCTACTATTCAAATATTTGGGCAATTAAAAATGTAAAATCCCTAAATGATCAAACTTTTCCATTTAATTGAGACCTCTTTGTGTATGTAACCAACACTCCGAACAGTATCTCTATTTACTAGTTCGATAAAAAAAAACAACAATTAATTTTGGAGACGATAAAAAAGTTTCTTATCAATTTGAGCCTAATTACATTTCTAAAATGTATGTCCCGTCACTTAAATAGTCATCTGTGTCAATGTGCTTATATTTGTATAGCATTTCAAACAATTTTAATTACTTTGTATGTTTTTGATAGGTATATTGATATAAAGTAGTCTGCTTGAAGCCTTGTTGTTATTCCACTCTGAAAACAATTTAAAACGCCCCTTTTTGTCTGCTAGTCTCTACACATTAAAACAATAGTTCTCTTAAAACACATTTGTTTAGCAAGTAGAACTAGATAAAGAAAAAAATGTAGCGACACAACGGAAAGTTTTTGACATAATCACACGTAAACAAAATACTTACTTCCGTGGGCAACAGTTTGGTAAAATGGTTTGGGTAACCTTCAGAGGAAGAAGTTAATAAAAATATGTGTCCAAATTATTTGAAAAGCTTATCAAAAACCGGTCAGTAGAAGTATAAACAATAGATTTCAAGGCATTTCGACTATTTAAAAGATAAGAAAAATCTGTTTAAATCCAGCGTTGAAGCCCCAGCGAAGGAATTTATCTAAAAATAACTATAAATAATGGTCGCACAAAGCCAAATTATAATTTTCTTGCTATCAAATATGTTAGTACGTTGACACTCAGCAGGAAGTATTTTTCAGTATAAACAATCTAGTTTAATGTGTAAATTATAGCTTCACCGTTGCGTAATAATTACGACAATTGTTGATGGGTAGGATTATTTTTACAATGAGAGGATTAATCTCAAGTGTTTTATTTAGCTAGTACAGGTGTTCCTTGACCACTAACTTGTTGAGATACTGCCCAAGCAGATATGACAAACGGGGCTTTTCCAAGAGCCTTTCACACCCCCTTCACGTGTCTCGTCCGACTCTAGGAAATTGTGTCAACACCTTCGATCTGAAGTTCACTAAATAAATCCAAGGACAGTTCCGTAAAAATGCAACGGAAATTACTCAATAATCACGAATCGTAATCAAAACTTTATTTACGCAATCGGTGTCATTTGATTTGATTTAGAAGTAGGGTGGGTTAAGGTATGTGAGTAAAAGAAGCTTTACTTATTGTGTTTTGTTTTTTAATATAAGGTTTACTGTGGTCAAACCGAAATTTAATTGAATTATTAATTAATTAAAAATGGATTATCAATCTAAAGCATTTTAATAGGTGAAGATATTAGTCTCATTTGTGTAAATAAGTTCCATTTCACCATAAAAAAATGCAATTTATTTTCACTGCTTTATGTATTTTGAACATAAATTTTATATTTATCTTATTCATTGACGATTTTGGAAAATGTTTGTTTGAAAAAAGCCTGAAAAATCTTTTGGTACATAATTATAGGCAGTGCTTTGAAAGACAATTGACTTTTAAAATCGCTTAAAGCGATTCTAAAAGTCCATAGCTTATGCTGTATTTCGTAGGTACATTTTATCAGATTTTTATAGTTTTTGTCTAATTTTTAGTTATATTATAAATCGATTAATCTTAGAAAAAGACAACTACGGTTGAAATAAGTTAAGAAGAAATTTCAGGTGACTCCCGAATAGTTTGAGGAACTGCTTTTAACACACATTCCTAGAAAATGAGCAATCGTTTTGACATTTTTCAGTATGCCAGGACTGAAGTGGGGCAGTCGCCCTTTTGCCGGCGGGTCGGGCAAGCAAACAAATTGAGATTGGGGCAGAGTTTTCGCTGCACCGCCTTATCACATTACATATGTGGGCATACGTATATGGGCCAGTTCAAGTGCAAATGCACACAAATAGCGCAATTCCGACCAAAACAAGCAGCTTAATATGCGTTGAGATTTCTATCCGATGCCAATGGCAGAGAGAGTATCGATGGGGAGAAGGCAGCTCCGATGATACTACAGCCTATATAGATGGGTTGGTTTGCCGTGGAACGGGAGGCGCTGTTTTGATAAGATAATGCACGTGTAAGAGCACTCGTCAAGTCGAGTGGCGGTGAGCAATATTGGACGTGTATTGATTTCGAATACTCCCCATATAAGGCGGAAAATCTTTAAATTCGCGCGATTCGGCGATTCGAATAGCATTACAGTTCTCCAGGGAGACGCCATCAGTTTCAATTTTAATTACGGATCCTGCTCGAGTGGGATTTGCTTCGCTTTAAAGGATTTTTTTTCTGTAAGGATGTGCCCAAGGATGTGAACCAGAAACAAAGTGTCTAAATTTATTTTACAAACTTGCGAAAAAGTGTCAACTGTGATTACATAAGCAACAACGAAACAAAAAAAATTAATTAGCAACCCAAATGCGACAGAATTAAAATTGTTCGAGCTTTGTTCATAGTGCAATTAAAATAATTTGGTAATTTATCGCATTAAATAATGAACAGACTGCAGTTCCGCCTTCGTTTAAATTATTGCTATTACTATTAACTCCAAATGATGTGTATAGATTTAAGTGGCTAATGATTCGACACCGCGTTGATTTAAAAATTGGCAGATAATGTGACGAACATTTGCTGATCGCAGTGTAACGGAATGGAAGGAATGTTTTTGGCTTCCTCTCACATATGTTATGGTGGCATGGAATGAGTCAAGCCCTCCAAGAGTTCTAACCATTCGAGCTTGCACCCAATTGAATTACAAATAGCCCTATCACAAATAGACCTATTAAGTCCAGTCAACTGAATTGCTAATGAGGGACTTTCGTTTTTCACTGTTACGCTCTTGCAGCTGCCTTTGTACACTTTAAGCCGGCAAGATGCCCTCAATAAATCCGGAGGAGGAGAGCGGAGTGCAGTATTCCTACACGGAAGTCAGTACGTTTCAGATAAGCGAAGGAAACACTCGAAATATGTCACCCGAACCGGTCAAGTCCGGTCGTATTTTTCTGGCTGCAGTGGCAGGTGAGTGATGTACTTTTAATCTTACTACATATAAATAGTTGAGACAAGAACAATATCTATAGTAAAATATATGATTTTTGATTCGATCAAAAAATATTTAAAAATGTATGTTTCATGCTTTCCAAATTTATTTGCTTTAATCTTATTTTTTGTTAAAATACGCAATTTAATTTCACTTTATAGCTTTGAACACTTCTATCAATTCACATCGCGGTAATTTAAATTTAAATTTAAAACAAAAAACAATGTTTAATTTAAATTAAATTGTATTGGTTTTAAATATTTATGTTCAGTCCCCTCAATAAAATAATTTAAACTTTATATCCTTAAAGTAAATAAAGAATTAACATTCTATACAAGTGAAAACTGATTTAATTGTATTAAAAAAAATACAAGTTAAAGATATAAAAGATGGCAAATCCAAATATTATTAATTTGAAATGAATGTTTTGACTAATTGGAAAAATTTAGATTAAAATTGAAAAAATTTAAATCAACAATAAAGCCATTGGATAAGCCAATTAAATATATTAACAATAACATAACCATGTTTTAACATTACTTTAAGATACTTTATATTTTGAAAAACATTGTTACATTCAAACATTTTAATGTTTATTTTTACTATGCCGTTTGTCTCTTGGTGTAGCAAACTTTTAGACAATTTAATTCTCCAATTTAGTATAAAATGCTTTTAGCTAGTTCAAATTATTAAGTTTGGATTTTCTTTTATTAGCCAACTTATCCGCCTTCGTCGTGGGCACCACCCTCGGCTGGACATCACCGATCGGGCCCAAGCTGAAGGCCGAAGACACCTCGGACTCGCCGCTGAGCAGGCCCATTACTGCCGAGGAGGATGCTTGGATCTCGTCCCTGATTGCCATCGGAGCCCTGGTGGCTCCATTCGTGGCTGGGCCGATGGCCGACCGCATTGGCCGCAAGTGGGTGCTCCTGTCCAGCAGTCTCTTCTTCGTGCTGGCCTTCGGCCTGAACATGGTGGCCTCCGAGGTGTGGATCCTCTACCTGTCCCGACTGATCCAAGGCTTTGGCGTCGGCTTCGTGATGACCGTGCAGCCAATGTATGTGGGTGAGATTTCCACGGACAACGTGCGAGGTGCCACCGGATCCCTGATGCAGCTCTTCATTGTGGGTGAGTCGATTCATTTGTTGGATGGGTTTGGCTAATTAGCATCGCTATATCTTTTCTTCTGTCAAATGGATATTTTAAAAATATATTTTTAATATTTACCTGAGAGGTGTAACTACATGATAAAAATAATATAACATTTTGAGACCTTAAAGAAATACTCTTTCATAAGTGAAATAAATTTGGTCAAAAAAGAGGATTTAAAAACAGCTTCACAAATATTTCATCTTATTTTAAAACTGAAAATTTATCCAAGATTTAAAATATTATTTTTTAAAAAGCTTTTTAAATTGTTATTGATATTATTATCTTATATAGTCATTTGCTTTAAATTTTCTTTGAGAACTAGTTGTTACGGTTTTAATTTTCTTATACGTTATATTTGATTAACAGGAAATGGGTGGTATCTTTTTGAAAGAGCGCTTTCAGCTAGTGCTTTATATTACGAGTCACTGGAATTTTAGAATAAAATTCCGCAAAACGTAGATATTCGAAGACAATAATAAACAAACTTTTCAATTCATTGACTAAAGAAAATGACTTTATTTAGTGCAGTTTTTACTGTTTAGATATTCGAAGACAATAATAAACAAACTTTTCAATTCATTGACTAAAGAAAATGACTTTATTTAGTGCAGTTTTTACTCGTCTGTCGTAAAGTCAAAAGACTAAACATTAATATATCTTCATAATGTGGCCATTGTATATATTGTAGTTAGCAGTTGTTTTGTGTACGAACAACAGCACTTATTAAATAATTTATTTCTCCCTGCAGCTGGCATTCTGTACGTCTATGCCATCGGACCGTATGTTTCCTACCAGGCCCTGCAGTGGTGCTGCATTGTGGTGCCCGTGGTCTTCGACTTTGTGTTCTACCTGATGCCCGAGAGTCCGTACTTTTTCGCCGGAAAGGGCCGCAAGTCGGAGGCCCTGAGGTCGCTGCAGTTCCTTCGCGGCCAGAGCGCTGAGGGTGTGCACGACGAGATGGCCGAGATCCAGGCCAATGTGGAGGAGGCGATGGCCAACAAGGGCACCATGATGGACCTGTTCCGGAACGCCGGCAACAGGCGGGCGCTGTTCATCTGCGCCGGCCTCATCTGCTTCCAGCAGTTGTCCGGCATCAACGTGGTGCTCTTCAACAGCCAGTCGATATTTGCCAGTGCCAACACCGGGCTGGACCCGGCCATTGCCACCATCATCATCGGGTGTGTCCAGGTGGGATCCTCGGCCCTGACGCCCCTGGTTGCCGATCGCCTGGGCCGGAAGGTGATGCTGCTGACCTCCTCGAGTGTGATGTCCATCGGGCTGGCGGCCCTGGGTGGATTCTTCTACATGCAGCTGGTCGTCGGAGACATCTCCAGTGTGGTTTGGATGCCGGTTCCCGCCCTGATCATCTACAACATTGTGTACTGCACGGGCTTCGGACCGCTTCCGTGGGCGGTGCTCGGCGAGATGTTCCCGGCGAACATCAAGTCGGCGGCCTCGTCGGTGGTGGCCAGCACCTGCTGGACACTGGGCTTCCTGGTGACCTTCTTCTATCCCACCCTGGACGCCCTCGGCTCCTACTACGCCTTCTGGCTCTTTGCCGCCTGCATGGTGGTGGCCTTCTTCTTCGTGCTCCTCGTCGTGATGGAGACGAAGGGCCTTAGCCTGCAGCAGATCCAGGATCGGCTCAACGGCAAGCGCAACTAGGAAGCACTCCTGATTCCCTATCGATCTTTATCCTACGCCTAAGGTCTATGTGCAAGTATTTTATTGGTTAGATTTGTAAGCCTAAACTCAATTGTTACATGTTTTTCCTGTTAATTTGTAAACCAAACAAAAATGTAGTAATAATAATTATGGTAAATCATTTAAAAAATGGTTCTCACTAAGGGGTTTACGAGTAGTGCACTGTCAACTCACGGAAAGGACAGCAAAAACAGATTATTTAACTAACTAGACCCAATAGTTTTGATCCTACAACTGTTGATCAGCGGCGTGTTTAATTTCTATCTGCTTATACCTTTTAAACTCAGCTCGCAAATGGTATATATCAATTCACCTAGTGATTCCTTACACGGTCGTTTACAGCGTTGCAAACTTCAGACCAAAATCATAACACCCTCTTCTAATGTATAAAAATGATGTAATTTATTTGCATTTACTGAGGAGCAGCTCTAATGAAAGGTTCGACCACATTTTTGAAGTCTTGTCACGTACCATTAGCTTAAAAGCAAATATCTATGCATTATTATATACAAAGTAAAATAATTGTAAACAAAATTCAGGCGAGTTAGGAATTTCGAAACAATTTCACACTTTTTTTTAAATTTAAGTTAATTTGCAAACCAAATTAAAGCAAAGTCCGGTCAACAATATTATTTGTTTGTTACATAGCCCTTTGGGGAAACTTTTATTTTGGAAATGGATTCGCCCGACTTTACAACTAAAATATATTACATTTATAAGCAATTGAATTGGATGGGAAATAACAATGTCTTAGAGACCATTTAACTATGGATTTTACGTCGTTTGCTTACTTTACTTACTTTAGCTAGTGGTTGCCAGTGTCAAAGTTTTGAAATTACAACATTCTGCTGGCTCCAAACTTCTGATATCAAAATTTCTGGCCTTGGGTCCTGGGCATGCGTTTTTATGAATTTATTCCTAGATCCCTGTCGTTTGTTGATTTGGACACTTTGGAAACGCCCGAACTCTTTCAGAAAACAGGCTTTTTGTCTTTCTTAATTAGCTGTTGTTTGCAACGACTATGTTTTGCATAATCCTCCTTTCCTCTGCTTGTAAACCACCATCTAGTCTTGAGACACCTTTGTGAAATAGATTTGGCAAGAATGACTTCTTAAAGTCCTGCTTTAATACTCCAATTGTTACAATATTAAAAAAAGAATCCCAAAAGTATGCAATAATATCTGAATTTTAAACTCTTATTGGCGTAGCGATGAATTCGCCGTAAAAGTGTGTGTGGGCATTTCCCCTACCCAAGGTCAAATTATTAAAATACATTTCGGTTATTTTGTTTCTAAATTTGCTACCAAAAAAAGTGATGGATTCAAAGTATAAAAGTCATCTGTTTTATTCCTTTGATACTCCAGTTGGAATGCACTTTAAATAAGTTCTAATAAATAAATTTTATGATTGCCATATCAGTTGTTGAGAGTATCGTTTTCTGATTTTACATTATGGTGAGAATTTCTAGTATTTTCACTCTAATAGCTGAGAACCTTTTTAAAATGTTGGTACAAAAAAGTATTTGTTACAGCACTGAGTTATAGTTAAAAACATAGTAGCTTGGCATAATTTTGCCTAGTGCAATTAAAAGATTTGTTCGGATCTCTCAGAAATACAGAAATACAGAAACACAAAAAAACTAAAAACTATTTTTCCGCAATGGCTTCGAAAACGCAAGATGCCATGTTGGCTGAAATGGATCTGATCTTTCTGGACGCAATACTGCCAAGGTGCTGCAAGGATATCACCACCGCCCAGGCGTTCTTCAAGGATTACAGTGCCGAGAAGCCGAAGCGGACCGTTACCGCGTTTCGTCACCAAACAGATCCATCTCTAATCTCAGGCCACTTTGCCAACAATCTGAAGGTTAATATGCAGGAGCTAAAGACAAGGACCTGGCCACGATCCATGGACTGGCGCGAGGAGTATGCGCAGTTCGTGAAACGCAACAAGTGGTGCAACGAGGAGATCTATAAACTCTTCTTTGTGCATCCGCCCATTGACTACACACAAGTAAGGGACTATCTTCAGGACCTGCTCAAGACCACTTACATCTCGGACTACTCCCCCGGCCATTACAAGTCGCTGCGGAGCCAGCACAGTCAGAAGGTGCATCCGAGTACATTTGAGAGCATTGACTATCAGACGACCTATGGCAATTACTATAATCGCATTCAGGAGGTGGATCCCTTCAAGTCCAACCTTTTCCCAGAACCAGACTCAAATGTAAAACGAATGGACATTGGACAATTTGCCAAGGAGATGCGCAAACTGTTCACCAAGTACAATCTTACCACCTACTACGAAACTATCTGCCTCCCAGCATTGTTAAAGGCCAGGGACGGTATAATGCCGTCGGGTCCCATCGATCGCTATACACTTCGGAAGCACTAAATTATTACTCCTTTCACAATTGTATTTAAACACTTATGCTAATAAATGTATACATTTTAGTATTTGGACTAAGAAATACCACATCTTGCTTCAAGATTATGAATGTGCATTATTCTCGATCAAACAAACAATCGGACTAAGTTTGTTTTTAAGTTTCTATCAAATATAAATAAATTGGGAACACAGCATCTTACATTTAACATTTGCATTTTACTTATGTATAATCTATAAAACACTTAATACTTAATTGGTAGCAAATTTAAACTATGATGGTAGTTGGTTGTTAAATTGTGTTTAAAAAAAGAAAGTTACCAACTGAGCGAGAGCGTTATGTCGACTTTTCGCGATTTGCAAAACAAAAATGTATATATTTTATGGCGCCAAAATTAAATGATTCATTTTGCAAAGGTATAAAAAGTTATATATATACTTTATTATTATATATTATTATTTGTTTAAGTGATTGCTCTTACTAAGGCCTTAAGACGCAATTAGGAAAGTATTTATTTTGAGTAGGTCAAATGATATCAGAGTGACTTTCCATTTTTGAAAAGCTAGAAGCCTCCTCTCTCGGCAGTAAAACGATAAGAATTTACTGAGATATCATAAAAACAAAATATAACTGACAATTAAATTCCTTGCCTAGGCTGTTAAGCTTTGGAACCATCTACCAAACCAACTTTAAACAATGAAAGGGACATTACAATTCAAAATCAAGCTTTAAACTTATCTTTGCACACACACATAAGAACATAATACATAAAAAATTCATAAAAATAAGAACATAAAAGACATTAAACCACTTTCGAAAAGAAAAAGCTTTTAAATTATTATTTTTAAAAGAGTGAGAGTTGTGGCGTCAATATAACAATAAATATATAAGGTACACAAATTACATAAAAATTATCACTTAATGATAAGATTAACGATTGACTATAATATTGAGGTTGTCACACATGTTATCTTTTTTTGCGTAATGACATGATAACGTAATCTACTTGAAATTCCGAGTATAAATCATTCAATCTCGGTTCTATTTAAACACATTTTTTGATTAAACAATTGTTAATTGAAAAAAATAATTCAAGTAGATCGTTTTAGTCCTAACTAACCTACAACAAGATGGTACTTTTTGTTCTTTTTTAAGGTCAAGAGGATAATATTTTTACATTTATATTTTCATTCTAGGATCAGTTTTTGAGTTTCGTTAAAGCTGGTGAGAGGGCTACGACTTAACAAAAATAAAACTGAATGTTTTTAAATATTAATTGTATTGTTTATTCTTATAAGAGTCCATATACACATAATTCATTTAATTTGATTACAGAATAAATAAGAATCGTCTGGATATTTAATAAGCGATCTTTTATTCTCACGATGACAAGTAAGATTAATGGTCAGCAACGATCTATAAGTGATTTGCAAAACAATTTTTGTAGGAGAAGCAACTCGACTCTCTTAAAATGCATTACGATTGAGCGGAAGCTTTTGGTGCCAAAAAAGCTATAGGTAGTTATAAAAAATATGATATCTGTGGGCAAACAAATCAGTCGTCGTGCGAGTTTCCAACCCGAAAGTCTTACGGAAAAATATCGTCGAGAATGGATCGCTGGTCGAATCGCGTTGCTGTTGTTACGGGTGCCAGCTCTGGCATCGGAGCGGCCTGCTGCAAGGATCTGGTGGCCAAGGGCATGGTCGTCGTGGGACTGGCCCGTCGGGAGGAGCGTCTGAAGCAGCTGAAAGAATCGCTGCCGGCGGATCAGCAGGCTCGCTTCCATGGCCGCAAGTGTGACGTCAGCGTGGAGCAGCAGGTGGTGGATGCCTTCGCCTGGGTGGACGAGACGCTCGGAGGAGCCGATGTCCTGGTGAACAATGCGGGTATTACCACCAGCTCCCTGCTCACGGATCCCGACAACTCCGCCGACATGCGCTCCGTTCTGGACACCAATGTCCTGGGATTCGTCTGGTGCGCCCGCGAGGCATTCAAATCGCAGCAGAAGCGCGATGTCACCGACGGTCATGTGGTGGTCATCAACAGCGTTGTGGGCCACAAAATTCCCACACTGCCAGGATTTAACTTCAAAATGTATGCCCCTTCTAAGTACGCAGTCACCGCCTTAGCGGAGGTCCTGCGCCAGGAGTTCCAGCTAAAGAAGACACAGACAAAAATTACAGTAAGTTGAAAGCCGAATTTTATTGAAGCAAGTCACCTCACAAATGGGACATTCGTTTAATGCTTATCAGTCATAATTCTATTAATATACACACAAAAAGCAACCAACAGTTTAAATTGTAAAGATGAAATCAAATTATTCCAAAATTAATTTCAATAATTATAACAGTAACGGTTCCTGGTTTGATTCAAAGTTCAATTTTGATTCTGTTGTTTTTGAAATACCCAAAGCTTGATAATGATTTTTTTCCTTTTTCGGTGATGATGAGCTTTGGTTGTTTTACTCTTGTGTTACAAATTAAAGAAAAGAATAATTTCATGAAATGATATTCGGACTCAAAGAGTAAAAATAGGTATGCTTTATTTATGAACAAGTATGTTGTTTTAATTTAATAGTCTTTCTCAGGCTTTTTAAAAAAGCAACCTATTTTGAAATCTTTCAGGTATCTTTGTTAGGTGCATACGACCTTTTTTGTGCTAATTGGCTCTTTACTTTACCTTATCTATTAAATTTGTATGTCGCTTTTTAGATAACGTATTTAACCCCCTGGAATCTTTTAAATATAGCAATCATTAAATTGCGGCTAGAGTACAAATCAGAACGAAATCGGGCTGCAAAATGTGTTTAAATGTGTTTAATGAAAATTTTACCTTCCTGTTTTTGTTTGTTTTTAACTTTATTTAAAATTGGCTTTTTGCAGAGCATAAGTCCCGGAGCCGTCGACACGGAGATCATTGATGAAAAAATCAAGGAGGCTTTGCCAAACTTTCCAATGCTGCGTGCTGAGGATGTTGCCGATGCAGTTTCTTACTGCATCCAGACGCCTCCCAATGTGCAAATCCATGAGCTGATCATCAAGCCAATTGGAGAATCTTTTTAACTGGTGCCTCAATGGAATTGAAAGTTTAAAGACGTTGTAACTCGTGAATATCAAAATTGAAAGCGGATTCCACACAAAACCGGAATTGATGTAAATAAAGAAAACCAAACTTATGTTTACAGAGAGAAAATTAATAAATAAATTGCCTATATGGAAAGCATTTATTGGCCATAAACACTTAGTATTTCCGTGTAAAATACATGAACCGCCCTAGTTTCCAATTGCAATAATAGTCTTTAAAGTACGTTTTTTGAGTGGTTTACAAGTAACATTTATTAAATCACTTCAACACACAAGTTCAATGAAGGAAGTACAGGGTTTTTAGTTGCAGGTAATTATTACAATACGTCATGGTTTAGATTATAACACTATGTCTGTATAAACATCGATTTCTTTAAGTTTCTCACCTTCTGTATCACAGTTACATGGTTATTACAAACGTGAGTGTGTGTATGTTTGTTTTGTGTTTTTGTTTTGAACGCATACAACTAGGATAGACAACACATATCTCTGCGCATATAACTATCATATAAAGTAACTACATCTTGCTGGCGCCGCCAATGCGGCCCAACTTAACATCTAATAAAAATCCAGAGTATAAATAGTTTTGATTACAGTACAAGTACAAGTAAACAGCGTTGAAACGTTTGGCTAAAAACTAATAATACCGTCATCGTACAGTCCTACCGACAGAGACGTACCCAGTACTTCCGCTAATTGCTTCAGTTTACAAATTGTATTCACTTGGCTGGAGCATCAAACGTGCAATAACATAAAAATAAAAGCATATTGCAGCCGTCTGAAGTCTTTTGGAAATAGCACACTAAGGAGAGTTTACAAGATTTCGCTTCGCTTAAGTCTACCAAGTACAATTACACATACATACATATAATATATATCTAGAGTATATCAATGTAGAACTCACACAACGTACATATGCCTCGGTCCGCATATTTTAAAACTAAATATGCCGACACGCAGCTTGTATATGTATATATAAATGATCTCGGGCAGGCCTCTTTAGAGCCGCCGTACCCTGTATAAAAATGCAGTTGCCTGATTCCGCATGGCAACAACAATGCGCGCGCTGGCCGGCAATAGTAGTAACTAACTCAATTGGATGTAGACGGATACGTTTGATATTTGCACTCGCGCTGCGTCTGGAACGAGTGCTCGAAGTCCCTCGGCAGCGAGGACAGTGCATGGGCGCTCTCGGTGCCCGAAATCGTTTTAATCAGGCTGTTGGAGTTCAGCGATTCCAGCTCATGCGTCTCGGAATTGGCCAGCTCCACGATGGCCGAGCTGGTGGGGGTCAGCAGCTGCTCGCTGGCGATCACTTGGCTGGGTTTCCTGCGGAAAAAAGACGAGTTGTTAATAAAGCTTTGAACACAAAATGATTTAAGTCAGTACAAATTTAAGAGAAGAAATTTTAAGCAAAAATTGAAAACCAGAAATAAAGTCTTATTTAAATTTCTAAAAATATATTTTTTGTCCGATAGTAAAATCTACTGATCCCATTAAGTTTTTGATATGATTTTATGTATATTCTTTCTGCAGGGAATCTAATATGTTTATGCCAAAGTCAGATGTTTCTATAATGTCAATTCACACGTAAAACGAACATGAAATGTACTAATGAAATAATCTATTGTTTTCGCACTTGAAAGCAATATCAAGAAACCTTAAAATAATTAAAATCAGAAATAAAGTTTTAATTAAAATTCCTAAAAATATATTTTTTGTCCGAAAGTAAGATCTACTGTTCCCATTAAGTTTTTGATATGATTTTATCGATTCTTTTCTGCAGGGAAGCTAATATGTTTATGCTAAAAACAGATGTTTCTATAATGCCACCTCACACGTAAAACCTACATGAAATGTACCAATAAAACAATCTACTGTTTTCCGATTTGAAAGTAATATCAATAAATCTTACCGCTCGTAGAACTTGCTGCTGGCACTGTTCCGCTTGTTCCACAAGGGCCACTTAAGTTCCAGGAAACCGTGCTGCGGGCCGGCAATGCACAGCAGACTCATTAGGAAAAAAGTGGCGTAGAGCCAGCTAACGATCATGACGACGACCAGGAAGACGCCGATCTGTATGTAGGGCAGTATGTTGGATGCCATCATGATGCCGCCAGCGAGACCCGTCGTGGTGGCCGCCATCACCGTGGGTCCAATGATCCGGGACAGTACAAACTGTGTGGCTGCTAGTCGCTCCTTGACCGGGGACATCCGATAGTGGATGCCGTAGTGTAGGCTAAAGTCCACCGCCAGTCCAATGGCCGTGCTCACCGCAATGCTCTCCAAAATATTGAGTTGCCAGCCGAGCAGGATGAGCACGGCCACGGTGTTGAAAATGCTCAGAGACACGGTCAATACGGCGTAGATGGAGATCAGTATGTTGACTGTAAAGCACAGCAGCACTGCAAGCGATGCTGCCATGGCCAGACAGATGGCCACCAAGGTGTCGTGTGAAAGTGTGTCCTGCACATTGTAGAATTTCAAGTCGCTGGTGAACCATCCGCCCTGCAGTTCCGGGGGTGCCGTGGTCAACTGCTGCTGAAACCAATGCTCAACAGACTCGTAGAACTGTTTGATATTCGCGTAGATGGTACTGTAGGCCACATTGGACTCGAACTCAATGACTATTGCTTTAGTCAAGAGCGGTGTGACTGATCCATTGGTGCCGTACTCTCCGCTCTCGTTGCCGCTCAATCCAAGGTAATCTGCCGTCTCCAGTCGAGGGGCGTCTGCAAACTTGGGCCCTGCCACGCCAGGCCGGAAAAATGTGGTGTCATACATGTTGGATATGCTCTGTGGCAAGCAGTACTCGAAAATGTGAGGTTCGAAGGGAAACTGGGCGTCGCAGCATGGCGAACGGTCTTTCCGGGTAATATCCATATCATCGATGCATCTGAAACACACAGAAGATCAGAAAATATAGTTTTTAAGCTTTTTTTCCTAATCTTAAGGTACAAGATCTAAAATGTCAATATATGTATATATATACCATTATAATTGGTTGAATTGTTTTCGAAAGTAAAAAGTAATAAAAACAAATACCATAGTTTGTTTTCAAATTAAAAATAGCTAGACATTTTCAGTTCACATCATTTTTGTGTCAGCATAACCAATGCCTTTATGCTTTAACTTAAGTTTAGCTTATAAACCACTCTATTCAAAATGTATAGAAAATTAGCTATTTGAATCATTTGCTTACCTGCGCTTCATATAATCGATGAGATTTTCAATGAAACAATTGGGCAACAGCATGCCCAGGGTCTCTTTGTAAAAGGGTTGCTGGCGCACGCTCTGGCAAAAGTCAAGGATCCAGAGTTGCGCCGGCCTGCTGGATATATTAAAATTATTGTCGTAGTGCAGGTTGCCGTAGGAATTGGGGTTCGTGTAGTCGCCATCGTCCACTGCCTGGACGCCCCAGACGAAATGCATGTGCATCTTGAAGTTCTCGTACGCCTGCAACGGCTTCTCGAACCAGAACTGCTGTTTGAGGCTGGAATACATCTCGAACGGGTGCTTCGACACGAAGAGCTGGAAGTGCGACTTCTCCGGCAACTGCAGTCCTGGATACCAGAATACAATGACGGCACTGGACGCGCCTAGAGCACCGAAGATCAGCAGCCACAGGTAGGCGTAGTTCATGATGCTGTGCGTTATGCACGCCTCGAACATCTGACAAAATCTATTAATTGACTTCTTGCAGGCGTGGATCAACTTCTGGGACACCGGATGGTGGCAGGATATCCTGGTGGCAAAGAGCCGTTCCATAATGGACACCGAGGCGGGCAGCCAAGTAATCATGACCAAATAATTCGTCACCACAACGGTTCCCGCAAAGATTCTGAAAGCAAGAAAGTGAAAGTTTAAGTTTCAAGCAATCTTGGTAAAGAAAAACCAAATTATCTACTAACCCAAAGCACTTGATGGCCGTTATGGAGCTGCTGTAGGAGGCGTAAAAGGCGCCGGCGGTGGTGAGCGATGTGACGAACATGGAGGCAGCAGCGTGTCGCATGGTCAGTGCCATGATGTTCTCCAACGACTCCGTGTGATCGCTGTGCTCCAGGGGCGTTGGCAGCGCACTCTGGGATTGAGTGGTCAACGTGCATCGATTGCTGAACCTTTCGGACAGCACACACTGCCAGATCTTCAGAAATAGAAAAACATCGTCTGCTCCAATGCCAATGATGACCACCACGGCCAAAAGGTTCATGTAGGGGAAGAACTCGAACTCCAACACGATGGCGTAGAAGAAGTACGCTAGTCCCAACGAGAAGCAGATGGCGATGCAGGACATCAAAGTGATGAACGCGGATCCGGTGTACAGCCAAACGCTGGCCATGACGAAGGCTCCTCCGAGGGAAACCAGCCAGACATCCGTCAGCAGCAGTTCGTTGAAGAGCTCGTTCTCGAGGCCCAAATCCATCGCTATCACTTCCACAAGTTCGTTGCTCAGCTCCCTGCAAAATCAGTCACAAGTTTAATATCAAAAAGAAACACACAAAAAAAAATATTAAAGCAACAATAAAAAATTGAAAAAAAAAAGTATAAAATGGATCCTGTGCAGAGGGAAAGAGACCTGATCAAATTGCAAATGCCAAAGACTAGGATCCTCGTTACAACCAGCAAAGCGGACTATGTGGACCATACTGGAATTGCGGTTTACACTCCCCCAATCAGGCAAGCTCAAGAAGATCCCTCCCTAATAACTGGCCACAATTGGAACAATCTGAAAGTTTCTGGTATAGAAAATAAAACGAAGACTTGGCCGCGATCGATGGACTGGCGCGAGGACTACGCACAGTTCATTAGGCGAAACAAATGGTGCAACGAGGAGATCTACAAACTGCTATTTCTGTCTCCGCCCGTGGATTTCCAAATGCTCAAGGAGTACATTAAAGATCTGCGCAAGACAGTTTATATGTACGACTACTCGCGAAATGATTTCGTTTCTTTGGTCAGCCGGCGGCGGGTGAAAGACTTAAAACGCTTTACCTCCAAAGATGGGGACTATCTCACCACCTATGGGTGCTCCTACAATCGCTTGCAGGAAATGGAGCCGTTTAAGAGCAACCTTTATTCGGTGCATCAGTTAAAGGAGCCGACGATGGATAGGATCGCCAAAGAACTGCGCAAGCTGTTCACTAAGTACAATATGACGACCTATTTCGACACTATATGCGTTCCAGCCCTATTGAAGGCTAAGAATGGCATAATGCCATTGGCACCCATCGATCGCTATCAATATCGCAAGTACTGAGTAGAGGCCCGTACTTACACATCTTCCCATTCGTGGAACAGCGGCAGCAAGCGATTGGATTGCGCAACCGGCACGAAGATCATGGCGTACTTCAGGTACACGTTGGTGTCCTGCAAAAATAAAAAATGTAATCAATGCAGGAAAAAAAAAATGTAAAAATAAAACCAAAATCTAAAATAGGAACAAATGAGGTTTAGAACTCACATTGGTCTTGATGAAGCTAAAGTCCGTGAGGAAATTAAGGACGTTAAAGACAATATTGAGCCGCTTGCACTCCTCGGGAGCACGACAGTGCGGGATTTCGTTGCAGTGGTTGTCCATCTTGAGGTCGTGGAAGTACTCGTAGCAGCCGGAGAGCAGCGTCTGCAGCGAAGTGACATCCTCTGCGTTGAGGTCGAAGCAGGAACTTTTGTTGGCCAGCATGGCTGCGTAGTTGGGCAGCGACCACGGCCTGCAGCATTCGGTGGTGAGCATTTCGGGCTCGCAAAAGGCCCGGTAGCTGGGCACCTCGGTTATCTGGTCTTGCAGCTGGCACATTGCCAGCAAGCCGTTCAAATCGAACAACGAGTCGGTGGCGTTGGGCCCGATCCGCTGAACCACAAAGTGGGAGTACTCCTTTCGTGGCGACGAATCGCAAAAGAAGCCTTCGATGGGCTGGCGACGATGAACGTCCGCCCAACCGTCGGTGGGCAGGGTGGCGGCTTGTTTCAGAAGTCGCCAGGTGCTCTTTTTGGTCTGCACCCGTTCCCGATGCTCGTCCTCATCCACCGAGGTGGTGTTGTGCCCATACTCGATCTGCTCGGTGCGCCGGGTGGGTTCCAAGGCCGACGAAACGCTGTCGTTTGTGATCTCGTAGTCGCGGAACACGCCGCTGTCACCCATCCAGGTGTCCACAGCAAGATTGCCGGCTGGAGCACTTGTTGCCTTCAGACGCTTCTTGAACTGCATCATCTTCTGGGCCACATCGTGATGTTCGTGGCTGCTCTGGTTTTGTTCCTTGCGTCGCTTGTTCTTGTTTCGGTTTCTATGCTTGTTCTTGCGTCGCCTGTGATTCGGATGCAGCCGGGATTCCACGTAGCCCTGCTCCACGCGCCTCTTCTCCCACAGATCCGAGGGATTCGAGAAAAGCGCTCCATGGTGGTCGGTCTCCTGCATCAGGTTGTACCAGGCCGTCAGGCGTTGCCCTATTTTGGTGCCGCGCGTTTCGAAGCCCTGAAATGGAAAATAGAGTATGCGGAAATGATAACAAAAAATAGTATTAATATTATTAAAAATATTTAATAATTAAAATTTGATAAAAATGTATTCAAAGAATTTTTCTTAAACGAAAGCGTAGTTATATTTGCAATTGCAATAGCTTGAAAAAAGGTAATGATTCCAATAAGAATAGCCTTTAAAGTTTGTACTTGTACTTGCAAGCACTCTGAAACACCTTTAATATCTATATTCATTGAACGATATGAAATAAATGTATTCACATAACAAAATAAAAAAGGGAATAAAATTGTTTTTATTCTAACTGTGTTAACCCCTTAAGAAATTCATGCCAATTTAAATTTTATTTCATATCTGGTAGTCTCCCTTAACTGAAATTGTGCTCTTGTCAGCAGGCTTTTTGTGTTTATGCAAGTTCGACTGCTGAATCAACTGTGTTCGGATCTTTAGACTACTTAGATGATACAGAGATCGAATCATACTGTTGATTCATTCAGGGCTCTTGCAGATTAAAGCTAAAAAACCAAACCCTAATAAATTTGTATGTCTGAACTAAAAAATTAACTGTTTTATTCATTATACAATTATATCCCAGACTATTAATAACTTACTTAATATTACAATAATATGTACTTACCAAGGTGGGATCGCTGAAGTCGGGCAGTTTGTTCAAGATGAGGGCCACAATGATGCAGGCCACGCAATACACGGCTATGGAGACGACCACCAGGTAGGGACGCCTGGCCAGGACATGGTAGTACCAGTTCATCCTCTCGGAGTCGAAGCACAGCATGTCAGTCGATAAGGGTAGCCTAAATCCGCTTTAGCCTCTTCGCATAGCGATGCACAACCTCTCCTTGAGTTTCTGCCTCAGTGCATCTTTGGCGGCTGGAAAAGTCGCGAATAACCTTGTGCTGGTGGGTGCTCCTTGGGACCGTGCCAGATTCTATTGTCTTGCTTCTGTTATAGATACTGCCTGGTAATCAGGCTTCCAACGCGGAGTTCCACTTGTTGGATTGCATTTTTTGCTGGGAGTGCGCGCCCGTGCAAATAACTCAGGGTTCGGAACTAACTAAAACAACACAAAAACAACCAAAAACTATGCGAATAAGGATAATGCAGAAAACGGTGAAATAACAACAAAAAAGCAGCACAAAGGATACACTGAGGTGTGAGCCAGTGTTGAACAATACAACCACCAGTGCTGACTGCCAAAACAGCTGTTTCGTCGTAGGAATGATCGAGAAGCAATGGCATAGAATAGACTATGTTTGAATTAATTTTGTATTATGATATTTTATATTAACTTCTATAAATTCTTTGTTATTTCGAAATTCTTAAAGATTTAGGGGTTTTAACAAATTAAAAAAAAATCCCACTGCTAAAAACTAGCCAATTTCTGAAGAAAACTAGCTACTCTGCCAGCCCCACAGAAACATATGTTCACACAGCAGTGTTGCAAAACGAGAACTAGTTCCATCGAGCCACAGACTTGTGCAATGTTTTGTAATCGTATTTACAAAATACTTTAAACCTAAATTTATAAATAAGAAATGCTGCGGCATGTGCAGTGTTTGCTGCGGCTGCAAAGCAGTGGACGCCAGTCACTGGCCACCCGCCTGCGATGCTACTCCACGGATGAGGGCAATCCCAAACAGAACCCCAATCCCAATCCCAGGGCTCAAAAGCGCGGCACCAAAAACCTACCGGCTGTGAGGAATCCCTTTGAGGCGGCGCAGGACAGGACGAAGAACACCTACCTTACCATGGTGGAGATCTTTCAGGAGCGCGATGTCCACCGCCGCAACCATGTGGAGTTCATCTACGCGGCACTCAAGAATATGGCGGATTTCGGGGTGGAACGAGATCTGGAGGTCTACAAGGCTCTGATCAACGTGATGCCCAAGGGCAAGTTCATACCCACCAACCTGTTTCAGGCGGAGTTCATGCACTATCCCAAGCAGCAGCAGTGCATCATCGATCTGCTGGAACAGATGGAGGATGTCGGTGTGATGCCGGACCACGAGATGGAGGCAATGCTGCTAAATGTGTTCGGCAGACAGGGACACCCACTGCGCAAGTACTGGCGCATGATGTACTGGATGCCCAAGTTCAAGAACCTATCACCGTGGCCTCTGCCCGATCCTGTGCCGGACGATACGCTGGAAATGGCCAAGCTAGCGCTGGAACGCATGTGTACGGTTGACCTGAGGTCCAAGATCACGGTGTTCGAGACCAGCGAGTTAAAGGATGCCATCGACGAGACGTGGATTGTCAGCGGGATGAGTCCCGAGCAGGAGAAACTGCTGCGGGAGCACTCGCGCCAGAAGGCCCTGTACATCGAGGGACCCTTTCACATATGGCTAAGGAATCGCCGGATCAACTACTTCACCCTGCGCGCCGATCCAGATCCTCAGTTCCTGTCCCAGTTGGACGAACGGCAGCTGGACGAGGACGATGTCTCCAACATTGAGGTGCCATTCTTCGGTCGCGCTCCACCAAGGCGGCACAACCAGCTGGGGAAACTGCGCTCTGTCCATCAGCAGGACGATGGCACCATCATGGCCATCTGCGCCACAGGCACCTCCACCAAGGACTCCCTGCTCTCGTGGATCCGCCTGCTGGAGGCAAACGGAAATCCCTCCATAGGAGCGGTGCCCGTGCTCTTCCGGTTCACATCCGAAGTGCCCGCCAAGGCGGAGGAGATCGAGGGTGGGGCCAGCGTCCCAGCCACAAGTGATAACAGGAGCAGAAGTCAAGAGGAGCAATCAAGCAGTAGAAGTGAATAAACCAATTGTTGTGCAAACTTCTGTGTTTCTTTGGTGAACTTGTGGTACCTAAAACTAGATTAAAATACTTGATAAAGTCCATCATCGTATTAGACACAAATCGCCCAAATCATTAATACCAATTAACTGATATATCTTGGTGTTGCCTTTAATGAAGTAAGAGTAATTAAGGAGAATTTCACACAATTTCCGATTGTGAGCCGAGCTTAAACGAAAAATCACAGAACCCGAAACTAAGTGTACAGAAGATCTGCCTAGGATTTAACGCCTCTCTTTAACCGCTAATTAAGTATATGTACATGTCATCTGTTTGTGAGATATTTAGTTATGTCATTGGAACCATCAAGCTGACCAGCTTGCGGCCCGGGTCTTCTCTACTTTGTGCCGGTCTTGTTGACGGGAAACACTTGCGTGACAACTCCGATGCCTTTGCTGGTGCCCTCGCGGAACAGAATGCGCATGCCAGGACGCACGTACTCCGGGTGGCCGACGAACTCGAACATAACCGAAGCACAATCGTTGGTGCCCAATCGCTCGCCGCCCATAATGCCCCTGATGACGGCCGTCTGGCGAATGCTGCCAATGTGCACCGTGGTCTGGAAGCCAACGTAGATGGCCGTGGCGTGGAACAGAACGGATACTTTGGCCTGAAAAAGAAAATTGAAGGGTCATTAACAAAAAAAAAAAAAAAAACGAATAAGCATATGAAAGAACGCTTTTAAAATGTAATCTTATCCCTAAATCGTTTCGAGGAAATTTCAAATTACCTGAAAGAAATAAGTTCCATAGGGCTCATCCAGACTATTGCCCACATCTCCCAACAGGACCATGCCACTCCGCAGCGTGGGCAGATCCTGATCCAAGGTAAACGACAGCGAGGCACTCTGTCCAGCTCGAACTACCCGGCAGGGCGCTTTGTTTCGGTGAATGGTGTTGACATTCACAGGATGGAAGCTTCCATCTGGCAGCGGGCCAATCTTCATTGGCATGTTCTCAGTGAGCACGCCCTGGACGAGCAGACCACCCACCACTGGTCCGACGTCGGAGACCCTGAAGATTTCGTCCACCTGGAACTCGCAGGACTCCTGCTCGAGGCGATCCTTCTCGGCATTGCTGATGCCCGGCGACAGGACGTACAGAAATTTGGTGACTAGATTCAGGCCAGTGCCCGTGACATTCGACACGCAGAATATGGGCACAATGTTCTCGGAGATCTGGTTTGATCCGGCGGAAATAGCCTCGTCCGTGTTGGTCACCACGAAGGGAACCTTTCGGCACCCGATGGTGGTGAGCAGGTTGCACAGCTCCTGCACCGTGGCATCCGGTGATGTGATGTCCGTCTTGGTGACCAGAACGAAAAACGGCATGTCCAGTGCCCGGACAATGGCCAAATGCTCCTCGGTGGTGTCGTTGCAGCCGCTGCCCGCCGACACCACCAGCATGGCGTAGTGGGGCGAGTAGCCGCTCAGCGCCTGCACAGTGGTGCGCATGTAGCGCCGGTGCCCGGCCAAATCCATGAAGGTCACCAGCTTGCTGGACCGATCGCTGATCTCCTCTGCCGTCATCATCTCATTGTACTTGTAGTTCACCACATTGCCCAGAGCATCGAAGCCAAGGGTCTCGTGTGAGATGCAGGAGGTGCGACCTGAAAGAAACAAGGTAAAATTGGTCATTTATAAATTCTACAAAGAAAATATGCACTTAGTTTCGGGTAGTTTGTGTTGTATTTGTAATTGTAATTTTTTTTTTATTTGTATAAAAATATGGAGACTTTATTATAGTCTCAACAAATTAGATAGGAACTCAAATTTTAAAAACATATACGCTTATGGATTGACCTAAATATGTAGTCCAATTATAAAATAATAGCAATTCTAGGAACATTTTTAAACTTCGAATTCTTGTTTAATTTTATTTTAGTTATTTTGGATTAAGGAAAGAAAAAGTTACAATAACAACTCACATATATGATTTTATGCCATTGATTGGACGAAAAAAGGATTTATTATATGTATATATGTTGGAAATACGTATTTCTTGTTAATTCAGATTCCCATTAAGAATGTTATTTATTACTGACAAACCCTTACCCGACTGAATTTCGTGCATGTGCCGGAACATGTTGAGCCGGGCCCTGCCGTGTCCGTTGTCCAGCTCATCCTGGGTGAGCACGCCCAGCAGCGTGGACTTGCCGGCATCAGCTCCTCCGAGCACCGCCACCCGCACCTCGATGTTGTGCTGGTCGTCGGGGATCTTCCGGACCAGGACCTCGGCCACGGCCCGTCGTGAGGCGATGGTTTTCCGCCGGAGCACCGAGGTACTGGCTCCCAGGCTGTGGGCCATCTGCTTGAGGGTCGTAAGTGACGCATTCATGTCCTTGTCGCTGAGGCCCTGCAGATAGCCGGCATCGGATACTCCTATTTCGTAGATAGCCTCTCCGTTTCCCTCCCGGAGCCGCCACTTCATTTGGGTGACCAGGTGCTCGAATCGCTGCTTCGACGGATTCACCAGCTTCAGCTTGTACTCGACATTGCCCAGCTGTGGCTCTGGCGGGAGCATACCCTGCTCGAAGTCGAAGATCAGGTTGCCCCGCTCGGTGGGCATTCCACCGCCCAGATGGCTCAGGCTGCACTCGTTGGCATTGGCATCCGTCTCATAGTCGCTGCTGCTGCTCCCGCCGCCGCTGCTGTTGCCATTGAGCTCCGGCTCCTCCTCAAAGCCGTCGTCCTGATTGGGATCGAAGAGACTCAGGAATGACTCCATACTGTGTGGCTGTAAGTAAAAATTTTAATTAAGTATATAATTTAAGGGTAAACACAATCAATTATCTTCTAAAGAAAGGAGAACTTTTTTTTAAAAGAGGAACACAAATTTTGGCCCGATTGCGACATTGAAATACAAACATTCATACGCAAACAGATTTTTGAACAGCTGTGGCTGAAACAATAGCAATTAGGTATTTAAAAAAAATCTTAAGCAATCTTTCCATAAATAGCGGTAATAACTTTGTTTCCCCAAAACTAAAATGATCGCATGATTTAAAAATATTGGTTGTTGAAATCCAATAATAATTGGAAACCTATTTTTTAAATCTAGTGCTGGTAGAGAAATTCAAATTTTCAATTTGTTTCCAATAAAAAGAAACATTTTGTAATATCTATAATTTTTTTGACTAAATAATTGTTGAGATGTGAATAAACTTTGCTTTGTTTTTTTTAACCACATCCGTTTAGCTTATGTGTATCCATCAAAACTGAAAATTTCTTCGTTTGTTTTTTTGGCCGTCCTCTTTGACTTGCAGCGACCTTGAAACGCTTGTTTATGTTTGCCACGACACTTGCCTTTGTTTGAATACACACGAATGGGGGCTAAACATCAAATATTATGCCAAATTGCACAATACATCTTACCAGATATTCTTTTTTTCAGTTGGCTCACAGGTCAAACCAAACGGTTTGAATTTACTCGTAATATTAAGCGCAAAAACAGTTCCTATTTGCGCGCGACGCTGGCACAAAATATCGATTTTGGCTGCGCTTTTCATTTGCCCAGGTCGAATTTGTTATTCGGCTATCTAGGTTCTGGGTGCTGTGTACTTGTGCTTTCCGTTTTTGGCTGCCTTTCGATTTTGTTTATAACCTGCTCCGTTTTGTGCCCGCGAACGAATGAGTGTGCGAGCCAAAAAGCACAATGAAAAGGCCCGAGTACATAAATAATATAAAGAGCTTTCGCAATACCCTACTTGTTGGGCGTTTGAGGGGGTTGGCCAAGACAACTATAAAATAGGTGACTTTAAAATGGAGTAAGACTCTAATTTAATTATAGAAATCTTGTATTTCATTGAGAATTGTAGCAAGATACTTTTATACATAAATGGTTTGAAAAAAAAGTATCGACCTTGTGAACATTAAATATGTTCCATTTTTGACGATACCAAAAAATAAATAAATCTGCTCTCCCAACATAAGTTTGAGCTGTAGAAATCATTTATTCATTCTTTTGAAAATTAAAATGAGTTTGAAGTTCAACTGCAATTTTTCAAAACTCAAAATGAGCTTTATATTAGGCAAACAAATTTTAAAACTTGCCTTTCAAATAGCATTGTAAAATAAACTAAGTAAACAACACCACACGATTTAAAAAATATTATTATCCGTTAAATTAAAATGTTTAACTGCTTTGGGAAGCGGATGTTCAGGTCGACCAGACCTTTACTTTTTTGCGCGTATTTTGGACAGCTTTTCGCGTCTTGTCTTCGCAGCGTTTGTTTCACATCTGATTTTCTACACAAGCCTTTTGTTTTGATCGAATCAGCTGCGAATGACGCTATATCTTGAAATTGATTGAAAGCTCTTTTCCGTTCGAACTGCACGGAATAACTGCCGTACGTGTCAGCAGCAATCCAAAATGCGGAAAGTGATACATCCCCAGTGAGGGCGGGATTTCACCAGAAACATATATGCACATAATTCGCATAGCGATTTCATCAGCCAAACGAAAAGCATGTCAATGCACTTTAACTCACTTTTTGAATTGGTTCCACGGGAACTTGTTTCTGATGCAATAATCTGCAATTGCGTGCGATGATCTTCGAAGGCCTACTTGCGTGTTTATTTTTCAAATTTAATTCACGTTGCCATGGCAATTTTGTAGTTTTGTGCGGTTAAGCATTGTAAACAGACGCAAATCACAAGAGTGGACGCCGAATAAAGCCCGCAAACAAACAAATCAACTCGTCAATAATCCTACTTCATTTTTATGACGCCAACAAACAGATGTTTATGCTCGCCACGCGTTAGTGCGTTTTAGCGCCCGCTTTATCCAGTTACTGTACACGCTTGCCAACACTGTTTGGCGCTGCCATCTATTGTGAATTGCAATTTATTCAAATTCAAATCTGAACGTCGTTATAAAAATGTATTTGAAAATGGACCACAAACACTAACGAATTTTTTTAATCAACAGGACTTAAGACATTTTTGGATAATGATAACTTAAATTAATCGGAAATCGTTCTGTAATTACACTATTCTACATAATAAAAAAAATTACTATGAAATCAAAAGTTTGATTATTGGTGCATATAAATTTGCGAAATTGACTTTTAAAATTTATATATCTAAATGTAATTAACGGGTCTAGCCCGTTTTTATGATAGTTTTAATTTTATCCCGTGGTTTTAGATAACCACAGCTAGAGCAACAAGCTATTTATCTCAACAATCCTTCGGTAATTGAATATACCCATACCTTTTCAAACTTGATCTGCGTTCCCAAAAAAAAAACCACTTATGATATTTTTAAATCTCTAGCTTAAAGCATCACAGACATGGTTATAATAATTTGTCTAGTCATGTTAATAAGGAATATCTTTATATATATCTTATAGGGTGCCCTCTGCAACAATAAATCTTAAAAAATAATCAAACAATATAAAGAAAATGAATATTCGAAGTATACAGCTAGTGTTTGTCATTTGGCTTTGTAGTAAAAACCAAGTTAAAGGTGACAACAAATTAAAATATGTTTAAAACCACTTTATGCCCCATTTCTGATTAATAATTCAAATTATTGTAATTCAAACTCTTTGTATTTTCATTAATATGTTTACGTTTTTATTTCTTATTATTAACATTATTACTTTATCACAAATATTTTAAGCATTTTTACATATGTAGTTAGTTACAATGATGTGTATATGTCGGTTGTTTTTGGGACTTGCCTTTATATTTATTTATATTTTTATGTACAACGTTGGCCTCTTTGAGGCTCATAAAATAGTTTTAGCTGATTCGACATAAGGGCTTCATGCTACAGGTTTGGGTTCTTTTTTAAATGTTGACTACTCGCACTCGTTTTTTGGATATCTACAGCGGGGTACCTTTGTCTATGGGTAAACTTGCATGAAGTTATAACTTTTATATTTAAACATTATGACATTACATTGATTTCACTAAACGCTATCGATGATTTTCGCTTAACTATTTTTGGTTTTCCATTACCGAATTCGTTAGAAATCCAAGACATACATATATGTATAGAAAAGAACCGCTCAACTGATATGACAAACGTTTGAACACTTATAGTCGCTTAGCCCTTGTCTATGATATAGTTTTTTCTAGAACAATATTCTGGTTGCTCTGAATACGAATTTCCGATATGCTAATGCCTTGATAACAGTTGCCATTGAACAGTACGATAATCGAAAGAGTTTCGCCCCTATTTGAACTGCCCGAATGAGGCCCGTTTATAATATTTAAGAATACATTCGTTGTGTGCTTCAGGTCCGGCTCCAACTGGCTAATGTCCGCCAATGGGGTGTTGGAAGTGGCCAAAATCGGGCTCATCAAATCGCCATTGGTTGGAGCTAGCTGCGTGCCTTTCATCCGGGTCGACCCGCATAAATCATTTTATTAGCTTATTAAAAACTTTTCCATTTATTGTCATCGTTTTGCGCTATCGTGCGCACAAATCCGTGCCCAGTTCTTCTGCTCCTCCACTTTTATTGTGCTCCATACCCATTCAATCGCTCGTGAGCTTATAATCGAGGATGGGGACAGCGGACTGTGGACAGCGGACTGGCCGTCGCATATTTTTCTATACTTTTCTTTATTGCTCACTTGTTGGCTGCCGCCACTGCTAATGGCAGTGGGGATATTGAAGGAGCGTGGAGCGGGCAGCGGGGAGCGGCTGCTGTGACCATTAAATTCAAATCTGCTGCTCTTTTTTGGCGCGTGTTTAAAAGTTAAATAATGACCAGCACTGGGCACGCAATGGCGCAAGACGTGTCCAATATAACTTTTCCCGTTTGTCGGTTCGGCCTGTCTTTGATCTCGACCTGCGATGGCAGTTCAAATAGTTGCGGCTTGGTTGTCGGCCTGGGCAGGAAGGGATATGTTTTTTTGGGGATATGTTCTCCACATTTCAGCCGGGGCGAACAGATTTAACAACAAGTTTTGTGGCGAAGCTCTGCCCCCAGCATATTGGCGAGTTCGCGGGCTTGGAAGATTAGTTTCACCTAGTGGGGAGGACCCCTTAAAATTAACAACTGAACTCGATCCAAGGCGCTGGAAACAGGCTCCGATTTACACCAGTCAAAGTATATAGTATACAAGTACAACTACGGATACACTTAGCTTAAACATTTACAAACGAACGGAGACACAGACACACGCATTACATATACATAATCGTACTTTAGCTATTCATCTAGGTCTAATAATTATTTCTAAGCGACGTCGCCGAACAGGATTTTCACATACAGGTGCGGTCAAATTAGTAGTAGTTTGCGTTTTTTTTTTTGGAAATTGATTCAAAGAAGTTTCAAAAACATTCTTTCATTAGTTTTGGTTATAGTTAAAAAATGTCGAGCTCTAAATCAGAATATTTTTGAAATTAAATTATAAGTAATTAAGTTTTGGAATTATTATAATGATTATAGATATGATTATTGACCGATAAGTTTAAGGTACTTTTCAATTCTTGTATAAATTTAAGATTTCTTTTTTCATTTACATCTCAAAATAATATGGTTTCTATGGTTTTAAGGTTTTAAATCAGATTCTATGTTGCATCACTTAGGTCTTAAAATCTTCATATTAATTTTAAATTGTTAGTTTGAAAAGGTTTGATTATAACTAATTTTATTTGTGTAAAATTAAATGTGTTGAACAAAGTAAAAATAAAATAGTTTCACTCCTAAGAATACCAACAAATTAAGAACATTTCAACAAGCTTTAAGTCTTTTCATAATAGATTAAGTCAACTTGTAAATTAGCATTTTATATAAACCAATTCCACCACTGATTTGACCGCAGCTTCACATGACTAGTTAGTAGTTCGCTGTCACTTGATTCGGCTGTGTTTTTTTTGGGGCTACTGCTGTGCGCCAGTCTTTTGGTTGGATGCCGGGATGTGGGAATGTTGGGATGTTGGGATGCCAGGATGAAGCGATGAGCTGGGGGAGGGGTTCAGTGTTTAGACGCAGCTCTCCGGACCGGGAAGTGTGTCGGTGATGATGTGGTTGCGTCCTGCCGCCGACTTGTGCGTGATGGTGTTGAGCTGCGACGGCGAAAGGCTCGTGCCGGCGGCCATTCCGGATCCCATTCCCATGCCCATGGCCAGACTCGCTCCAGGACCCATTCCCACACCCACACCTACACCCACGCCCCCGCCCACGCCCATCCCCAGGCCCAATCCCATGCCCATGCCCTTGGGCAGGGTCATGTGGGCGGCGGGCGGCTTGTTGAGGCCGTAGTCTATGAGACTGCTGGTGGTCAGGTAGTCGGCCAGATTGAGCGGATCGTGGCCGCGCTGCGGGGCCAAATTGTGGGGCAGCGTGTGGTGCAGGTGGGCGGCATAACCACCTCCGCCGGCAGCTCCATTGGCGGCCATGGCGCTGCTCACCGTGCTGCCGGCGGAGCTGAGCGTGCTGCTGCTGCCCCCCGTGCCGCCTGTGCCCGCTGCTCCGGCGGCGTAGCTGGCCATGCTCAGGCCCAGCTGCTCGTAGCGACTCAGCGTGGGCATGGCGTCGTACAGCAGCGGTGGACCATTGCCGCCCCGGGCACTAGTGCCACCCCCACCAGCCGCCGCCGCCGGGTCACTCTCCAGCTTCAGCGTGCTGGACTGCGAGGGCGGGCTGTTCAGGTGCGGCGGATTCGCATCCTGCAAAAAAAAAACAATGGGTTACCAAGCTTTGTTTAGGGTTCAACGTTCTTATATAGCCGGTACACTAGAAACAATTTGTTTAGCACCTAAGAAATTTAGAGAACAATTGGAAATTAAGAAACTAAATAAATAAATATTTAGGCCATATTTTATACATTTAGTATTCAATGAATAATGGCAAATTATTAAGGGTAAAAAGTAAAGTATGCAGCAAAATATATTACAAATCTATAATTTATTTCGGAAAACTACTTTATTTGCTAAGCTCATTTTTTAGTGCGTTCTTTTGGAGACCGGTTGAGGTGACTTAATAAAAAACTTTATTTAAGGACTCTATAAGAATTTAAGTCTGTTTTTGAGGGACCTTAAATCATAATTATTAATTTGGTTTAACAAGAATCGCGATTAAACGATTGTTTTTTTAGTATTCTTTAGTTTATCAAAAATAATGATTATTTTGAGCAATATTTCTTCGCTGACAATATTAATTATACGAATCTAGACGAATAAAACATTTATTTTTTATATTTAAAAATTTAACAAAAAAGTAGTACTCAATAATTACCAATATTTTTTGAGCGATTAAATAATCATAAGATTATAATTTTAGTTATATACTCCATTTCTTTTCAGACGAATAAAAATAGTAAAATAAATGTGCTCTCAACAACACAAATTTAAAATTAAATTAAAAAGCAATTCCATTAAAAAGGTGATTAAAAAAGCGAATGGTTTGCCTTGTTTTTAGTAGTTCATATTTGTTAAGTCCTGCCGACATACAAAAAACTCCTGTGTTACCGGCTACATAAAGGGCACAGTCGGAGGGCAACGCCTCCTCCTGGCCACAGACACTTACATAGTCCGTGGCTTTGTGGCTGCCAGCGTTGCCGGTCATAGGAGCGGCGGATGCACCACATGCCCCACCTCCGCCGGCGAACAAACCACTCGGCCGATTTCCCAGCGGCGACGAGGCGTCACCGCCAGTCGAGGCGCTCTTCTGGGCGCTCAATATGTCCGGCTGCTTCTCGATGCCCTGTTTCAGGGTATAGGCCACCACCAGCCGCTGGTGGCCTGCTCCCGTTTCCAACGGCGCCGTCACCGTCACATCCATGCCTGTCGGGAGTATGAAACATTAGCGACCGGTTCGAAAAGGCTAGCTTTCGAGGCTTTGCATACCCTTGCAGGGTGTTACTCTAACTAGCTTTTAAAATATCTTTAGTCATCTTAACAACTTGATCTAAGCTAAGTGGGCATCACTTAACCAATCTAATTGGTTACTTTAAAGTTTTAATGGTTAAAATTTGACATTTTCTTCGAAAATAATGACTTAACTAACTGCGTTTTTTCAATATCCAAGGAGAAAAAAAGGAAAGATCAAGAATAGTTTTGAAATATATTTTCCTAATAGATTCTTCTTTGATTTAGCTGATTTTGATAAAATATAAATGTTGTATGACTAAAATGGTAAAAAATTTAAGACCGTTTTCTTGATTTAAAAATTTATAGCTTCAAAACTAGTCTACCGCATTTGGAATATTCTAAAGCAAAAAGAACGTTAGTTTGAGCAGAAGGAAAATGGGATGTATATATAGTATCTTCTGATATGAGACATGATTTGATTTATGCGATCATAGTTTTGCAGACTTTTAATGCTCGGCAAGGGTATAAAAACCTTTTCCATCACCACATAGCAATGCATGAGTTGTAGGTACTCACCCAGGTGCTTGTCCTTGTCATCGCACATGTTGCGAGCTCCTTGGCCACGACGTCTGCGAACGGCGATGACCACCACGGATAGAACAGCTATGCCCACGGTGAACAATGTGCCGGCAAGAAGAGCAGCCAGGGGCAAAATCGAAAGGCTCATGCGACCATCTGCAAAAATAAGGGAAACATTTTGGAAAAAGGTTAGCATGCTGCGTTCAATTTCGAAGGATATAGACAATATGTACCAGAGTTGCTAAATAATTAGGATCATCAAGATTAAGCCAGTCAAAAATATTAAACCCTCTTGTTAAAAACAAATAAACCACATGAATAAATGAAAAGTATTATTATAATGCCTACTCCAATGAAATAAATGAGCAATTTATTTTATGATTTTATTTGGTGGTACGTCAATACAAACGAATAAGTAAAATCCAAATAAATTTCCTATATTTTGTTGAGGAATTTCATTTTAGCTTTTTTTTACCTGTCGTAAATATTGCATCTCACATATTTAAAATATTGGTTAGAGAGAGAAAACATAATTTATGACTATCTTTGTTGCTTTTTATATACACAGAATGGTATCAAAATAGCTAAATGCGTAGATTTATTGATGTGTTTGTGACCAGTGTTAAAATTGATTTATATTTGTAACTACTTGTATCCTTTGCTTTTAAGAGCAATATATATATTTTTATTCGTAGTCAATCAAGAACTTTTGATTTAAATGTTGCATCAAAAAAGACGGATTTCATTTGAATCGAATAAGGATACTTTTGAATATTTTAAAATAATACAAATATCCAATAATAAATTGTCATAGAAACTTAAGTAACAATTTTTAACTTTGGGTATAAAAAATTTCTCAATAAGATGTGGGTAGGGTTATATCAATTGGTATTGAACTAATACTTTTATTCAAATACTAAACTTTCACTTTATTTTTGGGTGTTGAAAGCGATATTTACTTTGTTTTTAATGAACAGAACGTATCGTTTTACTTTAAGAGTAATAATATATAAGAGTTATAATACTCCTTATTCAATTTAAAACCTGAATAAGACAAGTTCAAAAGAAACATTAGTTGTTAAAATATATACTGTTTAATTACAGCTGACTTAATAAGACTGTGTTATCACGTACTTGGAAATAAAAATGTGTTTCCATACATTAATTTAAGTACAAAGGAGATATAAGAGAGATTACAACACTTAAAATACGATTTGTAGTATAAAACATATGTGAGTAACACATATGCTCGTTCATTTCCCCGGTTTCTGATGATGAAAGCAATATGCCAGTTCTTTGTCCGACTGACTTCGATAAATAGCCATTGGTCGTCGAGGGTCCAATAAACTGGATGAGGCGCTGGCCACTTGACTGCTGCTCGCCCAGCTCTTTTTCAGCCGAGCCAGCAGCCATTCAATCGCCCGACCCACTCCACTATGTCCCATATCGGCCGATATTGCCCCGCCCACCGCCTCCCGCACCTGCGCCCATAAAACGCACGTCGCATGTCAAGTGGCTGCCACTGGCAGCGGTCCTTCAGCCGCTCAGCCGCTCGTTCGCTTAGTTTGTTGTATTTGCGATGGCTTTAACATCAGCGCTTAGCATTTCAATTAAAATCCGTTTGCCAGCTGGATTTTCGGGCTATTCGGGGTAATCGTAATTGAATATGCATTACAAGGCCGCACACACTGCGTATACGCAACCTAAGCGATGCGATGCGACGCGCCACGCCGCCTTTGTATGCTATGTATATTCGACATTCAACAAATCGTGCGCGCCTGCGGATATGCAACGCAGAATTTCAATAAGCAAACATCAGAACAGGTGGAAGCAGGAAACAGAAATACAGTGAAAATTAAATAAGAAAAATATGCTCTATACCCAAAAAAACAGTATGATAATAAACTCAAATTCGATTCAAATATTTTAAAAACATGTAATAATTAAAGAAAAATTTTCAGCATGAATCTAAATGAATTGAGTTGATTCGAATAATGTCTTATATACCATAAGATATACGTTATTATAAAAAAAAAACTTTTTTTGAAAATTTGTTATTTGATTTTGTTTGTTTGTACTTTAAAGCATATAATTTTGTTTAGATTTTCTATTTTCTGGTTGATTTTTGTTCGTTTTTTTGTATAATATATGTTTAAGCATTTTTAATTTAAAGTTATCTTAAGGATTGTTAAATTCTAATGTTGACCAAACAACCGCAATTTTATAAGTTTGGAATATTATCATTAAATGATAGCGATACGGTAACTGTAATAAAGCTTTATACAGCGAAATTGTATGCGGTAGTTACTGTAATAACCAAACGACATGCTACCAACAGACCAACAGGCAGTAATGGGAAGGTAATGGATGGGTGGTGCAGACTGTTGCTAATTTATAAACCTGCGCTTGTTGTCGGCCAAACGCCAAAGTTGCAAATCAATAAATATTCTTTGGCTGCTGCCGCTGTGCCAAATGTTGACGAAACTGCGCCGCTGGCGAAATTGCTCATTTATGCATGGCTGCGCCTAAGCGAACACATCCGCACCAAATACATACTCCAACTGCCGCCCACAAACCCACTAGCCATCGCTTATGTCCAATTTGTACGTGGGTTGTAATTGCTGCTACATGACTTAAAAAAAATATATATATATATAAATATATGTTTGTAGCTGTGTGTTCAGCCATACACCACGTTTGAAATGTGAAAGTTAAAAGTTTTTGGGTATTTCGATTTTTATAGTTTATTCATTGAGTTTTACCAAGCAAAAATCATTTTAGGCATGCTTCCCTTTTGATGGAATCCAAGGCAATTGAACATGAAAGTGCAATTTTTTTTAAGGACTTTAAAATCGGAAATTGGTGACCATTAATCATTGTATTCTTATTTAAAGTTTTAGACTTTAAAAAGAATAAATTGTAAGTCTGTAAATCCATTGAATTGAATGCATATTATATTAAATTATAGTTATAAACATAACGATTCAGTTTTTCCTATTTAGTAAAATGTATTTAATATGTTACATTATTATTTGTTAAAGTAAACAGTGCCTGTTTAAATAGCTTGCTAAAATTCTAGATTTTCAGCTCTGCATGTAATGAAAAAGTTATAAACTTTTTTTAACTCGCTGAATTTGAATTGAATGGAGAGAAGGGAGAACATCTAACAAGCTGACGTATAACATTTTTAATTTTAATTAGATCGCGCTAAAAGCCTGGCAATTGCATCTGGCAAACGAAATCTGATTTAGGAGACGGTATCAATCATGAAACCTATTTGCATGGCCCGATTTCTAAATTACCCAGGCAAACATTTCGTTGTGCAATAAAAATAAGTTTTGAAATGCTGGCTCTTCTATTCATTCTTTACGCTCTTCAGAGCAGATAAATAAATTGGTATTTAATTTCGTAACGCTCGTGAAGCAATTAAATGATTTATGAATCGATGGGTAGATTGGCGTGCAGGTGAATTAAATTAACTGCCAAATTTATGCTTTTTATTCAATGTCATGCCAGTGTGGAAATAATTCATTACAAATACAGCACTCAGTTTGAAACCACACGGCGGATGCGTAATATACTATCTCATTTATGGCCGAATGTGAAGAGTTGGCACTAAGACTGAGCGGGAACATTTTCAAATTATCCACTCCGGCAGATATGTGTACATATCCGCCATCCACTCTGACGGCGACAAATCCCCAATCGCATCAGCAAACCCAACACAAAGGGCATAAAGGAATAAAAAACCGAATCGAGCAATCGCTTGCCAAATAAAATGTATATTTGGCAACCAGGAAAAGGGCACTTGAAACAGAAACTGAAACGGAGACCGACGACCGACAACCGACAACCGACAACAGACGACCGACGAGATGGCACACAAGACGAGATGCCAGAAGAAAAAGAAATTTAATTTAAATATAAGCACACTGGCGTAATGAAATTTTCACACTTGTGCAAATATTTACCAATAAAACCACCTGGAACGGCGTGCCAACCAACTGGGGCCCTACTCTATGCACATGCCCGACTTAAGCAGATAAGCCAGACAACCAACCAAAGAGCCATCGAGCGAGTCACTGGGAGTCTCCCTTGCTCCGGTCCACGGCAAACGTATCCCACCATCAAAACCACCAGGAATTCGAGGACATGCAGCAGCAGCAGGAGCAGCAGCAGCAGGAGGAGCAGGTCCTGCGTGCCGCTCATAAGCCAATTGTTTGCATGGGTTTCATTTGGATGAGTGCAGGACCTGGCTAGCCTCCTTCCGGCCGCCTCCTCTCATAAGCTTAATTCGATTTAATGCTCCCGTTTGAGATATAAATGATTCGATGAGATGATGAAAAAGAGGATTGGTTAAATGTATTGGGTATACGAAGAGCACTGAGAAAAACTGATAGTAAAGTGCATGGTAAACGCGTTTATATATTTTGTATTTCAGAAAATCTTACAGGTTTTGAAAAAATAAGTTTAAAGATATTAAAAAGTAAAGATAATGCCTAAATTCTAGTCTGTGATAATCAAAAAGTTTCTACAGTGCTTTGAAAACTGGAAACATGAATTGTGACTAGAAAACAAAAAAAAACTTAAAATAAAATTTATACTAAAGCCAAAAGAAGGCAAATACTGCGTTTTTTCTACCAGTGTACGCCAACGTGCCCATGTGGGTTTTAAGGCGGGAATGCGTTTACACAAAGTAAGCATAAATAAAGAAAACGCTGTCTGCGCCTGGCGCTCCATTTCAAGGAAACACGGCAGACAGCGGTACAAAAAGTGGCGAAGAAAAGGAGCTGGCTGTCATCTATTGCAATGGCGGTCACATTTACCTACCGCCATACCAACCGTCCCACCAACCGCCCCACCGTCCCGCTCGTCGATCCGCCGCAACATATAATTTTATTTTATTTTACTTCACTTTCTGCACCGTTGTCTTTTGGGATATCGTATTCAGATAAGACATGTTTAATGTATTTTTCCTTGTCGTACAGTAATCGTTTATATTTTGTGCGCCCGGGCTGTGGGCTTTGGGCCCGAGCTCAACGTGGAGCAGCATCAGAAGCTACGGCTATGGCTCCGGTGTCTGTTCGGTTTCCGCTGCTGCTTTTGATACCTTGGTACCTTGCGACCGCAGAGTGGGTGTGTGTGTGTGTACTGCTTGTGGATGTGTGTGCACTGAGAAAATAGTTATACAATAACAAAACCCAAACATTTATGAAGCAAAAAGGATGTAGCATGTAGCTTTATTCTATTCTTATCGTATTTTTAATATTTTTTCTTAATTTTGTGGTTTATATAAAATATTACACTTGAATCAAAAAATATTCCTAAATCTTCTTATCAAGATCAAACTCATTTAGTAGATATTATGGAATATAATCTTTAGAGTTATTAGAAGTATAAAAAATACAAAGCTTAAGCATTTTGAATCAGGAAATTTTATAACTATATTTTTTTCTCAGTGCGTGTCGGTGTATGCTGGTGAAATAATGTAACTCCTGGGGAATCTCTGTGTGTCAGTTTAGCATAACAAGATATTTCTTTTCTCTGTTGGGGTTTTACGTTGCCATCGCTTTTTTGGCTAAAACATGAAATTGATTATATTTACATTAATGTGGCGTCAAGTGTTGCCATTGTAAAATGTTTCTGCCGCCCATTTTTCCCTCTCACATGCCACGTCTCAACTCTGGTTGATTTTATTCGGCTGTTGGCAGAAAAGCTTTTAGATTTGCCAAGGTGCAAATATTGACACTTGGCGTAGGTGGATTGCACACCGGCAGTGCATGTTCCAAAAATAAAGTCGCCCACACACTGGAGTAGCATAATATACAATCGAGCTGTTATATAATCCGTCGGATAAGTTGGCCAGCACTCAATCTAGCCCACACCTCGGATAATGGCCATCTGCCGGAGCCATCTGGACCATCTATGGGCCATCCATGGGCCAGCTCGTGTGTCTGGAGCGCATTAGGGAGATGATTGAGTGGATTTGTTGTCCATGGCGATTGGCAGCCCAAGCGTTCAAATATGCAATTGTGCAGATAAACATTATTGGCTGACCAAGTGCGGACAGTGTTTGGAACATAAGTAATACATAACTCTCCTTGCGGTGCGTTGCGGTGCGTATAATAATGATGCTGGTCAGGTAGTGTTGCCATTGGAATTGCTGATGCAATAAATACTTGGATGCTGGTGCATAATTGTTCGTTATATTATTCGACTGATTGAATGTAAGACAACAGACGCACTTTAGCCATAATGTCGGTGATGCCATAACGATTGGTATACACAATAGTTAATGTCTCCTCAAAACCGAAATCAATTTTGGTCTTGAAAAAGTGTTTATGCTTATTAAGAGATTTATTGGAAATAAGGCAAGCTATTTAACTGATTAGGGTAGAATTGTTTGTACTTTGGGATGTTTACCAAATTTACTTAAACCTTAGACAGGTGAACCTTTTGGAATAATATGTGTTGAGCATTTGTACCGGCAAATGTTGCTGAAACGGTTCTAATTACAGTGCAATTCCCCTTATTGTTTGCTAAGTATTTTTAATAACTAAGGGTATTGCAACTCAACTCTTGTATGTAAAAGATTTTTAATAGTTATGTATTGGAAACTCAACTGTTAGTGCAGTCCCAAAAGGTCATTCAGGGAATGATTTGAAAGTAGTTTAAACATTTTAAATCCATATTAAGATTTAAATTATTGAGTTTTAGAATCATTGTTAATTTTACCATAGTTTTTACAGTCAAAAAAAAAATAATTAACTTGTGCACCTTTTAATTAATAACTTAAATTATTATACATAGTACTACCTGGAACTCTGTTGTTATTAAAACCTCATTGTTAATGAAAAACTTTTAAAAGTTTAAATCGTTTTTGGCTTAGCTTATTTTGGCCTTTGTTTGTTTTTGAATATTTTGAATATTCAGTAACTTTTAATAAGATTGAATTAGTCCTATTTTTTAATTTGGCAAACGACAAAAATGTTCTGTTAGTTATCAAACAAATATTGTTAAAGTCACTATGTGTATGGTTTTCATAAAAGTCTTCCAGTTAATATCCCCGCAAATTTGTCACACTCTCGAAAAAAACAAGCACTTTCACAGTTTTTACCTCGATGGTTGCACGGAGGGAAAAGTTTTAAAGAAAATTAGCGTCAAAGTTGAATAACAAAGCATGAATAAGAAATCTCTGTGTCACTACTTTGGCTAGCCAGGAATGTGGGATGAGCCGGGGACCAAAGTGGAGTTGCAGTGTCGCCCCAGCGTAAACAAAACTCGTTAAATAAAAGAGCAATTGTACTAACAGCGACAGCAACAACAACCATACAAAAAAAAAAAATGAATGAAAGAACGAAACTAAAACGGTTAAGCGGAATATGCAAATACTTGAATGACTTTTTAAAGGTGAAATGGTGCTTAAAAAGCAATGAATGCTCTGTCCTGGTCTAGAAAAAGTTGCCCAACCCCAACCCAAGTCACCCCCTCAGCACCTGGAAAAACTTTGCAGTAGTTTTCTACTCATTTTTTGTACACCTACCTGAGCGTTTGTCCGCCTCATTGATGGGCACATTCTCGAGAACAATCGGCTCGGAGCGGCCCTTCTGATTGACGCTGTAGACGACCAAGTGCAGGGCCGGATGGGCATCGGGATAGTAGTCCATGGGCATTAGATCTGTGCAAGACGGAAGGGGGAAATTAATTAGTCCGCTGACTCACTGCAGGGAAAAGAGATTATTTTCTTTGAAAACGTCAAAAAAATTACTCTTAAAGAAATTCTTTCACACGCTTATCAAGAAATCATGATGTACAAATCGTAAAGGTTTTAAAATGTATGCTGCTTTCTTTTGAATTTTAGCACATGTCTACAATCACTTTAAATTACTGTAGAAGCCTGATAATAAAAAAAACCCTAATTAAATGTACTCTTATTATGCTCAAAGTTATATTATTGTTTGCAATTTATTTTAATTAAGTAAGTGACACGTTTTTGCCTAAATATATATTTATATAATATTACAAGAAAAGAAAAAAGTATATCAATAAAAAGATAATAATCTGTACCTTTGAAATATTTAATGCTTAAAAGGCATTTGCTTAGTTTTAAATTGTTTTTATGTTTTAATGTAAAGATGGCCAGGTCATCTTTGGTCATTAATTTAAAACTTGTAGTGCTCTGTGCAAACTTCATTAGGCAAACAGGCATTTAATTAGCACGTCGCGGTGCAAAACTTCGGTCGCATAAAATGAAAAGTTCCCGACTGCGTGTGTTTTTCCCCTAGATCTGCCGCTGTGTTTTCTGATTTTCTGTTTTTCCGTTTTTCTGATTTTCTCTTTTTCCGTTTTTCCGATTTTCTGGTTTTTCTTAATGCGCGCATCAAAAGTTTTGTCTGTGCTCCATGCTCCTTGCACCGATAGCAGCTCATTAAAATGGCAACTACTGCCATGCAAGAAGGGGCGTGGGGTCAGAGGTGGGGGCGTGGCAGGACTAATACGCATACATTGGCAAGCCGCAGGAACAAAAACACTTGGTGGAAGCCCCGCAAACAGCCACCGATTTATCCACCAACGGCGTCGTTAACACGCCTGTCTAACTAATCGTGACTTTACGCTTCGTTTGACTTTGCAAATATCGCCGAAACCCCTTAACCCCGACTCATCGATATGGTGGAACTGTGGAGCTCTGGAGCCATGGAGTTGGCTGGAAAAGATGCCACTGCAGCACAGGGAGCAGGGATCAGATCGGGCCATCTCCTGTTGCCAAGTTGCCAACTTTAATAATCCGAAATGTGGCTCATTAACTCGCCCCATACCCGCCAAATCAAATGTAATATTATAATTTTCGGTTCGCTGTTAAACCCCATGATAAATCTAGCTTTTTCAACAGCTCGATTCCAGTTTTCTTCTTCTTTTCTGCCCTGGGGCCAGCCACGCCCCCGCTGGCAGCATTCTATTTCATCCAATTCCCCACCTCAAAACGCCATTGGCATAAAAGTTTTGCTGACTAGCTAAAATTCATTACAACAAAACAGGCAACAGCATGTGCCAGCAATGGATGCGGAACAAGAAAGTGGCGATGGTGGGGTGTTGGGGTGGTCGAGGTCCTGGCAGCCTCAACTAATTAATCTGCGTAGTGTTGGCTGGCTACCTACACAGCGACAAATTATATCCAGAATATTCTTTTAAGGATCACATATATATTTTTTTAGGTAATGGCAATCTTGAAACGACTTTTAGTGTCCCCATTCATCGTAATAGTTTTATATAGTAAACTTGACTGTTTTTATTAGTTAACAAAAACCAAAATAAGCAATTCTCTAAAAAATACATTAAAATAAATTAAAAGGCAATCATTTTTCAAGTTTTATACAAATATTAACAAAACCCGTAAGTTATCCGCCTAAATATGTAAGCCTTCATATAAAAGCAAATCCTAAATGTTTGTTTAGAAAGTTTAACTTATTTTATATTTCATTTAATAGTGGGAATGAAAATTCTAATTGAATTTGTGCAGTATTTTTTCTCACTGCAGCTATTGCTCTTTCAAGCCGCAGTATTTTCTCCTTGTCTTGAAGCCAACGCGCAATTTTGCCAGCTCAACTTTTTGCTCAGTTTGTTACTTTGATTTGTTTTTGTTTTTACTGTTTGCGCTGCCGCTCCTGCCACTGTTATTGTTGTTGCTCTTGTTGTTGTTGCTGTTTGGTCCTTGTTGCTGCTGGCCGCATAAAAGTCAAGTCTTTAGTTTGCGGCTTTCGCACAGCACTGTAAATATTGTACGCCAACACCCTGGGCCTCGTGATTTCTAAGCCAACCTCATTTAAATATAATAATACATAAGCATCGTGTAATAAAACATTGCTCTGGGCCTGTGAGAATCTGCGGAAATATTGGATTTCCCCGAAACCATTAAAGTCCGAGCAATTGAGTTGCCCGTTTAACGGACTATTTAAACAAGTTATGTGTTTTGAGACTTTTCGCTTTAGTTGCTACAAAAAAGATAGAAATTGAAAAATAAAGACATTTATCCCTTCGACATGACGTTGGCTTAGAGAGTTAAATTTGAATGAAATAAACTTTCCTTAACAATTTCAATATTTGCAAACAAAATTCGAAATGATATTTAAAAGTTGTATTACAATTTTATTTTTCAAATACATTGTCGTACAGAAAACAAATGGAAAAATAACATTCCTTACTATTTACAAACATTTCATGTATATTGTTGATTCATTTTTTGTACCATTGAATAGAATTAGAAGTATTAAAACTACCATTTATACTTTTGGTTTATGCATATATTATAACATTAAAAATATTAAAAAAGGTTTAATTTGTGTCGTTTTAAAATGTACTATTCTGATTGTTAATAGACAAACTTTCTTTGGAAAATTTGAGAAACCGTGACTCATTGGTTAAATTTCTTTGTTTCTGTGGACCTAAACATTAAATAGGTAAGCTACTATTTTCATGGTATCTACCGATTTTGTTGTAGTTTGGGAGAGTTTTAATAATTAAGTCTCAAAATTGATTTGGCTTAAGCCAGATATGAATTCCACTTGTAAGAAGTTTACTCACTTTCAGGCTAAGAGTCGGCTTAGATTTGAAGCAAAGACAATAAGAGACTTTATGGCAAAGCTTTTGAAGGCTTTTAAAATAATCCAAATACAAATTCAGATTGGCTTGGTTTCGAAAACTCCCTAAATTTTAGTTTTAACTCCCAGACCCTTGGTTAATCAACTGAATAAATAAATAGTACGACTCACCTGATAGATCGATTCGAAAGACCGGCACATCCATGTAGGTGCTGCTCATGTTGAGACGCAGTTTCTTGGTCTTGGAATCGTAGGCCTCCAGGAGGAACTGCTGCTGCAGGCCTCCATCGTAGCCGGGCATGCACTCCAGCTCCATGGTGGAGTAGATGATGTTGTCGTAGTTGTCGAAATTAATGGTTCCGCCGCCCGCAAAGCCGTCGTGTCCGGACCCGGCAACGCCCCCCGCCCCCGTTCCCGATCCACCCAGCAAGCTCTGAGTGACGACTCCGTTACTGAAACTGTACTCCATGCGTGAGTAGTCGAAATGAGGTAGCTGCCATTCAGCAGCGGACGCAGTGGTCGGTGTCGATCTATCCTTATGCTTATCCTTATCCATATCCTTATCCTTGGTGCGAGGGCCTTCCGTTGTCCTCTGGACGACGCCCTGAGATGTGGTGTCGGATGTGGAGAGGGCCACGCTGGCCACAAAGTCATCATCGCTAACATTGTACATATCATCGACCTCGCTATTGCCATTGTCATCGTCATCGCCGGCCTCCTCCTCCTCGACATTGTCCTCCAGCGACTCCAGATCCAGTTGTTCTTCCAACGACAGCATGGGCACTTGTTTCGGCTGGCCGTCCACCTCCTCCACGGTATCGTAGTCCGCCAGGTCGCCGGGTCCGTCGGCCAAGTAGTCGGCATCGGGGGGCAGCTGGGCAACGTCTTCATCCAGGTCTGCGTCGTCATCGTGGGCACCTGTCCCTCCTTCCTGCTCCTCCTCCTCGTCGCCATTAGTCTCAGTTTCAGCATCCATCTCTGCCTCATCATCATCATCATCGTCGTCGTCGTCGTCGTCTCCGTCGACTCCGTCGTCTCCGTCGTCTCCGTTGTCATTAGTTGAGTTCTTCTTGGTCGACGCCTTGTCCTTGACTCCTGTTGCAGCTGCAACTTCTGCTGATGTTGCTGCTGCTTCCTTGACATTGTTGCCGCTAATTGCTGCTACTGGCTGGTTGCTGATTTGCGGGGCATTCGGCGGCAGCAACTGTTGCTGCTGCTGCTTCTGCTGCTGCTTTTGCTGTTTGTCAAGAATGGTTAGGGATTTGCGAGCCCGCTTGTTGCTGTTGTTGCTGCTGGCAGGAGCAGGAGCAGGAGCAGCAGAAGCAACAGCAGCAGAAGCAGCAGCAGCAACATCCTGCTCGATTTCCACCGCCGCCGTGGCCGTTGAGCCGGCTGCCATTGAGGTGGCCGAGGACGATGATAATGATGATGCCGATGTGGCTGCTGCCGCCACAGTTGCTAAGATGTCATTTGGTGCCAGCCGTTTTCTTCTCCTCGAAGTTGCATAATGATGGATTATATTGCTGTTGTGCTCGTTTGTTTTCTTGTGCTGCTGCTGCTGCTGCTGCCGTTTCTTCTGTTTGTGCATGTTTTTCTGTCGCTTATTAAAATACTTTGCTGGCAGTTTGCCATTGTTACTGTTACTCTTTCTGTTGATGTTGCTGCTGCTGCTGCTGCTGCTGCTGCCTTTGCCTACATGTGACATTGATAAATTTGATTCTGCCGGCTTCCGCTGGCTTGTTATTGATGCTGCAAGCCGGGACTGGCTGCCACTTCCACTGTTACTGGCTGCATCCAGCTGATGTTGCTGCTGTCTCTGCGGGATTTGGCTGGCACGCCGCATTCGCTGCTTTGGCGACTTGACCGGCGATCCATCAGGCTTGCTATCGACACTGGACTTGCCAGCAGTGGCTTGGTGTTGCTGCTGTGCCTGCTGATGTTGCTGATGTTGCTGCTGTTGCTGTTGTTGTTGCTGCTTCTTCTGGCGCTGCCTCTCGATGGCTGCCAATGTCTGCGACGGTGTGAATGATGTCCGCTTCTTGAGACGCTGCAATTGCTGCTGACTGAGCTGACTGAGCTGCTTATTATTAGATTTGGCCTGGCCAGCACTCGTTCTGCCCCTCATATTTTTATTGGCCGCATTGTTCCGGGCAGTGGCACTGGCACTGGTATTGGCATTGTTGTTGCTGCCACTGCTGTTATGGCGCTCACGTACGTACTCCATGTGCGGGTAATTCGACTCGTGTCTGCCGTATTGTGTGGGCAGCATTTGATTGGCATGCATTGTCGTCTGATTCGATGAGTTCAGCGAGGCGGAGGTCACCACATACGGCCGGAGTGTACAGTTTCGCAGTGCCCCCGGCTTGGCTGCAATGAACGAGTAAGCGAAACCAATCAATGACAAACAACATTCAAAGCATACGCATTATGTTTCAGAAAATAAGTCTTGTATTGAAAAAATGTGCTACTCCCTACGGCAGATATTAATTTGGTGTCCAATTAATATTTCATACATTGAAAAATACAAAAATATATCTCTTGATAAAGGTATTGTTGGTGACAAAATCAATTCAATTATGTTTCTCACGACACATATATGATTGCTAGCCTGGCTTGTTAAAATAAACATGTAATCGATAATCAATTATTTCTCAAAAACAATTGAGTAAGTTAATACGCTAAAAAAGTATTATTTAAAATATTTTTTTTTGTAAATAGACAGGCGATAAACTGGTAATGGGGTTATTACACTAGATTGTTCGTCTCATTCATTGCATTGATATTTCCTCAGACTATACGATTTTACGTAAGTGCGAGCAAGACGAGTTTATGACAAATCCAATGAGCAATTACTTAAAAAAATGCCAGAGAGATTTCGGTATAAAAATACCTTTCGATAAAATACCATTGGGACCGAGCAATGTAGTGTCATAGGACTATAAGCAAAAGCTTGTTTTAAGAACTACTACTAATGTAATGTTAAATATGATAAATTTTCAATTAAGGAAATAAGAAGTAGCAAATAATTTGCTTTTTTTATTTAAAAGTTGTCACATATTATGAATCTATATATTATACTTTCTTATAATTAGGAACCATTCAGCTGTACCGAATAATATAAATAATAAACAAAAAAATGTGAAAATAAGCTCAAAATCCTAAACGAATGTTTAATTGAATTGATTTAATATTTTTTTTGTATTTAAATTAAATTTTACAAATTGATTGGGTGATCTGTAACTCCTCTGACTGTTTTACAACTATCACTTAAAGACTGTAAGACTCACCTGCTGGCACCACTTGAAAAACACACGGGTCCGACTGTTTGCCGATGGCATTCCGGCCGTAACAGGCCAATGTTCCGTAGTCTCGCTCTCCTTTGGGCGTGTAGATCAGTTCGCTGACGGTTTCCACTGCGGGTGAATAGAATATGGAATACAGGTGTAAATTGCAATCCAGTTTCGGCGCTTATTAAACTGCCCTTTTCGGCAAAGTTAAATGAAATAAGTTCTGCTTGCCCAAGCAGCTCAGTCAAGCCAACTGGGACGGCAGCAGATAATCCAATTTGCGACTATGCGGTGCGAGTATGTGCATGATATTGATAAAAGTCTCTGCACCCCACAGCCTCCGAACCCTATTGTTCAGTTACACAGGTGTACACCACCTTTGGCCGAACTTGGGCCTCTGCAAAGTGTTAATTTCTAATGCCTGCTCAAGCGCAAGCACATGCAAATGCCTCTCCAATGCATTTTCGCCATAGGCTCTAAACTGGAACTAAAGTCTGTATAAAACAGTGCAAAAACAACTAGATAAATTGAACTAAGCTTTTCTTTTTAAATTCACCAAGCTTAAAGATTTTTTGACTTTTAATGTTATCATGTACAAAATGTAAGCTTAAAAACTTAATTGATAAAAAAAAATTGGTGCAGTGAGACGCGCTGGTTATGAAAATGAGACCTCATACTTTTAATATAATTTACGTTTTCGGTTAATTTTTGTTATCTTAATTTCTTGCAGATAGTAGATATAGGAGCAAGATTCCGCCGAAGCATAAAACGAAATTCATTTTATACATTCTACTTAAAAATGGAACTTTAACAATTCTTCCCACATTAATTTAATTTTAAATATTAAATCATGTGATTTAATGATTGTATTTAATATATATTTTCATATTTAATTTTAATATTTAAAATACAATTTTCAATTCAGTAGTCAGATATTTATTTATACTCTTCCGCTTTTTTATCAGTGTACGAGAAATTAAACATGCACGGTATAAAATGCACCAAAAATATAACATAAACTTAATGAGCATTTTTTCAATAAAATTAATAAGTATGTAAAACAACTGTTATTTGCATCTGCATTATGATTGCTACTCCCATAATGAGATTCATTTAAGTAAAAACATTAATTTAAAGCATATTTCTTTTAAATTGATCCCTTTGAAATGAAGTTTTCCAGCATATAGACCTACCATAGCTCTCGAAGTGCGTTTCGTTGGACTCGACGACGGTGCGCCTCACATCGCTGGTGGTGGTCATGGTGGGGTCCTGGATGGTGGCGTAGTGGCCCGAGGGCACCTCGAAGTGTTCGCCGCTGGAGGAGAAGGTCCACTCGAAGTCGATTTCGGGCGGGTCCGAGTTGACGCGGCAGGGAATGGGCACGGCCTCCTCCAAGGAGGCCCCAATCACGGTGATGGTGGTGCTGCTGCAGACGGGCGCATCTGTTGGCGACACGATTGAGAGATCGAATTTAGAACAGAATGAGGACGAACGAATTGCACAATAATGAGCAGCTGCAATTGTCCGATTGTCCTCCGTCTATATCAAGTATTTATATTGCAAACATTGTGCTGACAGGCCGAAAGGATGCGATAGGATGGGATTGGGTGTGCCTGGCAAATTGACAGCTCAGATTTTCAATTTAAACAAAGCAGCTGGCGTACACTTTTTCCTCAGGTATGAGGGGTAAGTTTGAAAATTGTTTCTTAAAATACATAGGCATTAAATTGCTGCATTTTTCACGATGAATTCAGGACATTGTGTACTGTTATTGTATTGGTTAATAATAAATCCCTTACATATTTAATTAACAATTGTTATTGTTATGGAAAGATACTTATACTAAAAAAATTTATTTGACCTTTAAAAAGTTCTTTGATTACTGATAATTTTGCTTACATTTAAAGTAAAATAATTTTATTCAACTTTTTAAAAATTTATTTTTCCATGGAAATAATCTTGGATTAAGAGCTATACAAAAAGTCCAAAGTCCTAAGACTTAAGCCTTAAGTTTAAAATTCCAAAAAAAACCCTGTTTTATTTTCACCTTGCCAACGCGCAAAAAAGTTTCGTCATAGCTTAAAGGTGGAGGACTCCATCCACTTGACTCATGATTTATTCAAAGTAAACTCATTTTGCGTTTTTGGTTACAAACGATTGAACTTGAAATTTTATGTCATACACGAGGCTTGCCAAAAATGTAGCTTCACCCCCCGAAATTCCCACGCTGGAAAAACTTTTGCCAGCTACTTTTGAAAACTGCGCCAAGTGTGCGTTGTGCGTGGCATTCTGTTCCTTGTTTGCCTGTGGCAACGGAATTCTGTCATAAACAACCCAACAACGCGCGCAGAAACAAAGCAACAGCAACAGCAGACAACAACCAAAACAACGTCGGCAGACAACACACGCAACACTCTAAGCACCTAAAGGCATTTATTACCAAAGCCGCAACACTTTTTGTTGGTTTTTATTAAAAATTATTCGAAAAGTTAGTGTGTGTCACGACGCAAGCAGAAAATCGTGTAATGAGTTTGTATACAAATGTTGTGTGAGAGTGATGCATAAACTATGTCTAAATAGGTTGATAGAGAAAACATGTAAAGTCGATAATAACCATAGTAGTTCTAAGTTTCCTCTCCGAAATTCTTATTTTATAGTTATATTTTGTTCAGCTAAAATCTAAAGTATATGATTCAGTGCATTTCGATAGTAGTGAGAAATGTTTAAATGTTAAAACTATTCAACTGAATTCAACATGGTGCAATGAATTTATTAGCTCACTGCTTTTATGGGTAGTAAAGCTTTTATTTTTAGAGTATTCAAATAGACAGCTATAGTTTATATCCTTGCACTCAAGGATCTACTCCATAAATTCGTCTTTTCTTTTCGCATGGTTTTTACCATTTCGTTTATTCTAGATGTCACTGGCATTCTCACAATGCAAGGCTGGGCAAAGTCAATTCCCTGGAGCGCAAGGTGCAATTTGCTGCGAAAACCGCAGCCAAGAACTCCGCATGGTCGCAACCCAATTAGATGGCCAAAAAGGGGAGAAAACCACGGCATTGTTTGCAGAGCAACGACAATGCCAGTTGGAATTTTGCGAAAATAATGAACTACAACTCCATTCGTCTTTCTCGCTATGCAAATTGGAAAGAGCCATGAATCTGCGGCATAAGTACGCAATTCCGGATTATTTTAAACATCTAGAGGGATAAAGAAGCTGCAGTTGATGGCTCGATTTTACGATCCCGTTTCCATGCTCTCATAATATTTTTATGACGGCGTCAATTTCGCAATCGTAGAATGTCAATTTTAACCATTGCTGATTAATTTCTGCCAAGATATGAGCCAACTGCTCGCTGCCATAAATCAATTTATCTCAATCGCTGGCCCGCAATAAAGCAGCCCAAACCCCAGTCAAATAGGGCCCATCTCTATCCCAACCCCAACTCCAGCCTTCCCATTCCGCATTCAATCAACCATCAATCCATCCACATCCACATCCACATCCATACTACCCAGATGTATGTAAATGTTTACGTGGCGTATGCGCGATGCTCGTGTAAATAGCCCACGTAGTATTTGCACAGCAGTCGGTGGCGGTGTATCCTTATGCATTGTACTCGTATTTACTTTCAATTATCGTAATTATCAAAAAGGGTAACGGGCATTGGGTATTGGCATTCGGCATCGGTAACGATAATGGCACGGCAATGCAAACGTTTGCTGATGTCTTCGTTTTTCGATTTTCGCTTTTCATTTCGATTTTCCTTTTCCGCTTGTGTTGTCTGTTGTTTCTCATTCATTTTCAATTTCATATCCCCTTCATGCTGATGCGGCGTAAATTTTGCTTTCACCGAACTCAACAAACAATTGTAGCTACTTATTTGAGTTTGGAGCTCGTCGGAAGCCCAACCAATTCAATTTGGTAGCAGTGCAGCGAAGCGCTCTAATCGGGGATAATTACATGTTTTTTTGGCTGCATAATTCTGTATGTAAACGAACTCGGAATATTCATTTTCATAGAAAATTAATTGAATAATATTCCATAAACTGCCATTCCTATTCATATGCGATGCATATTTTGAATAATCAAATGGTATGTTTTGTTTGGCTTTGGGGTATATTAATACTCAGTTTGAAAAAATGCTAGAATACGTTTTGTTTTGATCTAGAAAAAATTCACAAAGCAATAAACTTCTCCCAAAACATTTTTCAATCAATAGTTTTTTTTGTATAATGTTTTATGATTTCAAACGTTTTTATTTGTAAACAGAGTTTAAAGGCTAATTGGTAAGCAAGTATATTTTCCAAATTTTATTTTGAAACATTAATAATGTTTAAGTTTGAAAGCGCAACCAATTAATTTTGGAATCTGTGCAGCAAGGCGTATAAATCGGGAAAATTACATTTTTTTAGTTTAATAAACTAGTCATGCAAAATCCGGTTTAAATGGCATCAAAATATTCACTTAACCAGGCAATTAATTAAATAATATTCGTTAACCTGTCCGGTTTGCATGTGTGACTGCACAGTGTTTTTTTTTTGTTGCATTAAATATGCAAAATAAAAATTGAATTTTCCCTCGGCGCACCTGCTGAACGTATGTGCATGTGTGCACTCACCTGACCCACCTGTCCGGTGTCCGTTGGCCCGACCTTTCCCATAATTATAAATGGTTTAGTAATGACTGTGAGTTTCGATAATAAAAGCAGATCATTCATTTTTATTACCCACCCAAAAACCCTGCCCCCAAACCGAGCTGACACGTTAAGTTCGGGGGCTAAACTTTTGGCCCCGATTAAAATGCCGGGCGGTTACTTTATGAAAGCATATGCATATTTATGCACAAGCAAACACAAACACAAACAGTCCCCACACACACAACATACAACACATAACACACCACACACGCTGTTTGGTATTTAAGCATCATTAATTATTTAGAAATACAGTCGGAAGTAAATGCTCTATAACGGTAATTGAGACATTTTCAATATGTGCACACAAAGGCTCCGAGCGGCGTTTATCGGTCATTTATTTTTGTGTTGTCCACAAATCATAATTACACACACTTTTGGGCTTGAAAGTGTGAAAAAGCCCACACTGCGGCAAGTAAGTTTGCCAACGACCATAATGGAGCATTGGGAATAATGGAAGTTCACGTCAAATCAGAGCTGTGACAATTAGAAATCAATTGAGTTATCGCTAGTTTGGTTTCAATTTACACTTGAGGCCCGAGACTGGTTATCAAGAAGCCGACTGTTTGGCTCTGATGGTAATTGGAGTCCATTAAAATGGATGGGGACTCCGCAAAAGTGTCAATTAAGTGGAATAGGGCTATGAGAACTGTGACAGGTGTAGAATATTCTAGCATGTGGAATGTGGAATGGTATTTAATGAACGGAAATGCTTGCTTTAATGATTTAACCTGCTTTAGCAAACATATTTATCGTATTTTACAGATTTTGTCTTGGCTTATTTTATGCAACGCATAGGGCAAAACTTGAAATGCCCTGAAGTGCTCTAACTAAAGTAACATGACAGGAATTTAATTAAAATTACTAAAGTGCCAAAAACAGTTAGACGAGCCCTTCCTTTGTAGTTTCAATATTCTGAATTGTTGATTGTTAAAAAATTAATCCAACTATGATGTATAATCGAGAAATGTTTCATTTCTATTATTTAGTTTTGTTTAAATTGTTAAATTTTTGAATAGCACTCATATCGTGAAACCATATAGGGTATCAACGATGATTACTAACAAAGCAAACTGTTTTTCGGTCTAAAAATTTGAATTAAAATATATGCAAACGGGCATTGATATTTATGTTTTTGGCAAGTAAAAATTTGTGAAGTTGCGACGTTTGTTTGATAAAACACAAACTCACAATGCACCCACGTATTTTATATATATCCTATATGCATGTGGCCATGTTAACGGATGACAGAAGAGCGGCACAATATAGATCCGTTGCATTGTGCATATTACGGCTTTTTGCACAAAATATTTTCTGTCATTTTAGCATACTTTAGTTTTTGGACATTGTTGTGTCCATCCTGTGTGCTCAATGGGCGGAAGGGGAGTGGGGATGTTGTGCGATTTTGTCAAGTGTACAGCCGCTGCTGTTGTTATTGTGGTTGCCAATTTTGCATGGGGGCGTGGCCACGCCCAGTTATCAATGTTGAATAACTGAGTAAGTGCCCCGGCACATCCCTCCATTTTTCTCTCGGTGTGCGCATAAATTTATGCATATGTATTTTTAATGCTCCGCTCCACTGACAACTGTCAGCATAATTTTTGTGCAAATTTTCGGTTTTCCTCTTTATTTTTTTTTTTTTTGTTAAATATTACAAAATGGGTTTTGTAAAGGGTTTTCGATTTACCAGTGATCGCCAGATATACTCTTGTTTGACATTCTAGTAAATTGAATAAAAGTTTTTGTACAGTTGCTTATGTACAAAAATTTCTATTTGACAATATTTGAGCATATGTTGATAAATGAAACGTAATTAACTGGCGGTACTATAGAATTCAATAGCGTTATGAAACTAGTAACACAGCTGTGCATTTATGCAAAAAAATATAAATCCTTCCTATTTGATTTATTCAATAAATTAATTTTATTTTAAAAGCCTTTCTTACTTGATATTATATATATATTTTTTAAAGTTCAGGAAAGATATATATGGAGGAATATAAGAACGGCTTTTTAGATACGTTCAAATACTGTAATATTGTTTTAGCCCATAATGAAATGCTTATGCAAATGTTTTTCATCAATACATCTGTGCCATGTTACGACCAACGACTTGTTGCCAGGTTTTATTTAGAATTATATTAGGAAACACTTAGAAAGCTAAGGCACTTACATCGTATCCTCAAGTTGACCGGAGCTGACTGGGTTTCCCCGCGGTCATTGGCCGCCGAACAGGCATAGAAACCGGAGTGGACGCGACCCACTCGCTGGAGAACCAGGGAGCGAGTGGAGATGATGATGCCCCAGGACACATTCTGGGTGACCGGTTGGCCCTGGAGGAAAATGGAGAGTCGCCAGGGTAATTTAAGCTGATTAAACACTTTCATTTTGGCCAAAAACTTACGTCATGCGACCACATGATGCGATGCTCCTTGGGATTGGACTTGATGTGGCACTCGAAGTAGACGTCGTCGCCCTCCTTGATGTCATCCGGACGCAGTGTGGAGCCCAGCGACAAGGTGACTTGAGGCGGATCTGGAAAAGCACCGAAAAACCCACATGTTAGTAGTTGCGTTCACGTTTTAATTGCCTGCGCTAATATGGAAATTGGGTTGTGTGCTTGGCGTAAATTTTATATTCAAATTGCCCGACTGCAGAGAGCCTCGTATAAAATAAAAAATCGAAAAATATTATTGCACAATAAAACTGCGAAATGTACGCAACGTCGTTTGGAGTTTTTGTTGTCATCAATCTACAACGTCGTAGCGCAAACCATAAAAGTTAACAGCGCGGTTATAAACCACCGAGCCCCTTCGATCCGGAATCCGGGTCAAAAGAGGCTAACCAATGAGTATGACAAAAATTTTTAAATTAAAATCGTTCCGTTGCCGCGAGCAACGCCCCAATATCAATGATGGATCATATAAAATATTTAGTGTTTGCCCCTACTCCTTGCCATTTTTACAACATCAAGATTGTTCGCCGAAAAAGGTGGCTAAAACCCTCGCGAAAAGGGAGCGCAACAATTTTGTTCACTGTTATGGTTAAGGAAAGTGTCTGGAAAAGGGGTTAACCAGACTGGAAACTGTAAAAAAGTTGATTTCAGGTAGTTACTACACGTTTCTTTGAAGGCAAAATGAATCACGGTCGTTCGCTGGCCTAACTCCGTTTTCCGATCAAAGGAGCGGGTCCATCAAAAGCTTAAGCCATCTCCGTTAATCCTTTCAAGCAGCTTTTTCTTGTGTATTTCTAATTTTATATTTCCACACAGGACCGGGTCAAAAGGGCAGTGGAAAACTTTCTCCAACTTTCGGTTCGAAGCTTACGCGCACTGCCATTCAATATTTATGGCTGAATTTCGCATACATTGCTGGGGATCTATGCGTGACTTTAAAATTCAATAAATTTATGATTATCCGATGGAAAAACCCATGGCAAAACAAAGTGACAACACAAAAATAACTAACCGAAAGGAACGCTTTTAGTGTGGGACGAACCTAAACCACTTTTGATACCCTTCGACGGAGTAGAGGGTCGCGTGATTGCTGTTGATTTTAAATTGATAATCATATAAAGTAAAATTTATGACATTTTGCTGGCGCTGGAGTAAATATGCGAAACGAAGCAAAACAGCACAAATTTTTCGCCAGCTTTTTTATGGTCACGCTAAAAGTCAACGAAATAAATATTGACATACAAGCGAATGGCTTCATATTGGGCCAGTGAAAATGGAAGGAGGGTGTGTAGTATGTAAATAATGTCATATAATTTAGACTTATTTGCACAGGCGACTTTGATTTGTGCGCTGGCTGCATTTATGAAAATTCTAATCGATTATAGGGAATAAATTCGCAATCAAAGTTATATTCCCCTGTCTCATTTTAATTGTCTACCAGTCAAATGCTAAAAATATACGTTTAATTTTGTATGCTCGTTATGAAAAAAAATGTTTAAAAAATTCCTCAATATTTTTAGTATTATATATAAGAAAAATCTTTAAAATATGCATCCTTCAATCAGAAATAAATTTTGATTCGATTTAATTTAGGATTATTAAAAGTGTTACTTTCAAAAATGAGTTGCTATTAATGGATCATAGGACCTTGGAGTTAAATTTGTTGCAATAAGATATTTTTTAAATTTAAAAGTTAACAACGCGGGTATAAACCACCTATAATTTTTTTTTCGAAATTTTACCAACAGTTTTATGGTATATAAAAAATAAAAAAAGAAAAATTGGTTTCCAATTAATTATCAAATATCTTAAAAAATGTTTAGTGCCACAAACAGTTTTTTAAACGCATGAGATTGTGAAACCTTCGACCTAATGCAATCTTTTTTCTGAGTGTTCCACTTACAGATGACATTCATCATGAGCGAGTCCTCGATGGCCGAGTTCTGTAGTCGTGGGTTGGAGCCCTCGCACTTGAGCATCGTGCCGTCGTCCTCGGGCTGTGGGTAAAATGTCAATGTGGATATGACTCTGCCATTGGCCTGGCTCGTTGACAGCTAGGGGGATGGATGGGGAGAAGTGAAATCGATTAGAAAAGTGCCCGCTGGCCACCGGAGGAAATTCATAAATAAGACTGGCTCTCGCCTGGCCAAGATTGAGTTAGGCACTCTGGACGGAGCTTACCAGGCCACGTTTGAAGGGCCGATTATTCTGCGTCCATTTGATTTCCGTGTCCGGCACCGAACCGGCCACAATGCAGGTGAGATTGTACTGCGTGTTCGAGGCGAAGACCTTCAACTTATTGGTTAAATTGACTGATGTGGGTTTGACTGCGGGGTTAAAGGTTTAAGGGGATTATTCGTGACTGGCAATACAGACTCCTCGTTGCGGCCACTCACGTAACATTTCGATGCGGATGCTGCGCTCCACGGGCGCCACCAGCTTCGTGTTGGAAGCCTGACAGCGGTACGTGTTGTTCAGGGCGGAGCGCGAGATTTGGGCCACCTCCAGGCGGTTGACGGTCACATGGCGGCCCATGGACACCCCACTGCCCGCCTCCAGGGTGCGCGTCCCGTTCAGCCAGGTCACCGTGGGCTCGGGTCGACCTGTTGACGAGACGGGAAAATACACATTTATTATAGGTTTCAGTTAACTAATACTATGTCTATTTAAAGGACGAATAAATCACAGAAAATTTTACATAAATACTTTGTAGACACCAAGTATTTGGTAAAAACTAATTATAAAAAACATTATTTTGATAAGAAATGGATTGTGGCTGAATATAGTCTGGAATTACCCTTTTTCTTATTAACAAAAAGTACCGAAGGTCCATAATTGGCTATTTTGAGAAACCAATGTAGACGTCATGTCTAGCTCCTTGTCTTTGTGTGTTTTAATATAAAGTATATTTTTGGGTTTTTGCAATTACTTTAACTAGACAGCGATATTAACTGAAACTTATTAATAGACTTCCTATCGAATGTATTAAATATAAATGATTAAAGAAATAAAAATATTAAGTTTTACTGTAATCACTTTAAAATTAATTTGTAATTAAAGTATTAGAAAATTTAACCATTCCGTTTCCCAGAAAATGCTAACTGATTATAATATTTTCAGTGTTACCGCGATTCTAAATTAAGTTCAATATAGTCAATTAAATACGTCGATTTACCAATTCTATTATATTAGTAATAAATAAATATATTTTAAATACCGACTTTATCGCAACACAATAGCGTTAACAAAGGGGCAATAAAGCCAGAAGCAATTTTTGTATTGGATTCAATGAGCCAGAATCTAACACAAGGGGTAACATTTTGATACAGCCAAGCAATGCAAATTTAAATTTAAATTAATGTTTAATGCATAAATTAATTTAAAATTTCGTGCCAACTGTTTTTCGCTGGCAGCAAACTTTTCCACTCATGCATTATTAGCCCGCCTAGAGAGAGTTTTCCCGAGGTGGTTTTCTAACGGAAGCGGCGTGACCACAGCGCCGCGTTCGAAAATTTATGACCGAAAAAAAATGAAGGAAACTTTCAACATTTTAATGATAATGCGCATTTAGCAGTGTGTACCCAAGGCTTTTAAAAAAGGCTTAGCCAGCTTAACTAGCAAAGTTGGGCCAGTGGGCCGGGCGGCATGGATGGATGGATGGTCGAAAAAAGGCCAGGAGGCGCTCATGGGTTTCCCAGCAAACGCATAAGCGTGAATATTGAATTAGTTGGTTGGTGAGCCAACGGGAGGGATGCGGAAAGTTTTTGGGGACATGCTGATGACCCCGAATGGAAAACAATACTAGTGCGAGGGGAGAACGGATAAAAGGGCACATTTTGATACATATTTATGCTGTATTTGGTAGCGCTGGCAAAGCCGATTAATATATCACAAAGTTATGGACTTTGTCAAAATGTTGGACAATAATTAAGAGTGAATTCCCGGAATTGTTGACGCAATTTGGTTGGCTTTTGGAATTGCAATCCAATATAACTAAATATTTGAATAATTTACACTTGTGTTGGTCTTGTATTAACCCATTTGTGAATTTTTAACATTAACAAGGCTATCTACCTAATTTAAGTTATGATGATTTACCAGATATGAAAACCAGTTTTTAAATAAACTACATTTTATATATTAGCTCTTTTAACATTTATATTTAATTAATCATAAAAATCTCTTTTAAAAAGGCACACTTTGAACACTGAGCTTTTAATCATCGTAAAGTTTTTAAGTATTAAAATCTGTACTACACTTATATCAGTATATATATGAATATATCTCAAAAATAAATCAAGTGTCCTGAAGACGACAACAATGGTTGTCGAAACGCGTTAGAGAAAATCCGTAATCTAATAACGTAGAGTAACAACGTTCGAGCAAACACAAAAATAACTCAACAATAACAACACATGGGCCCAAAACACAAATAAAACAAAGCTTTTCATCTCTTAATAAAACTGATATTTATTCAGCTTTAAAATCTTCAGATTGATTTTGTTGAAGAATAAACCCTTTTGGTTGATTATTTTTTGCTACTTTAATAAATGCCTTTTAATTCAAGTAGACCACTTGCTAAAAGCCTCCTATAGAGGAAAAAATATTCCCTTTTTCACATCTACTTCAAATCCGATTTCCACCTGTCTCAATTTACCCAATGAGTACAAATATTAAATTAATAAAATATGACTTGCCTATATGTTCGATGTGCCATCGATTTACTCTCCAGAGTTGGGAGTTCTCGATGCACTTTTCCGAATCTGCACCCCCGGGCATTTCAATTGAAATTCTGCAATCACTTTTTCGCTTTGCTGCCAGCGCAAATGCTCAATTCCCGGAGAAAGTGGTAGGAAAAGGCATTTCACTCGCTCACATATCAAATGTACGAAAATATTTTTAATCCGTTTAAGTGCCCAAAGCTTGGGCTCCGACTGCTTGCCTTTGGCATAGCCTTTGGGTTTGGTTTGGGCCATTAAGTGAGCCAAGTGAATGCTGCGGAAATGAGCAACAATGGCAGCAAGCAGCTGGGGATTGGCATTGGCATTGGCATTCGCATTGGCAAAGGGATCGGGGGTTGGAGATTGAAGGCGAAAGTAGCTGATAGCTGGAGTGTGGACTTGGGAATTTACTGCCAGAATGCTGGTTGATTGCAAAGGATACTCGGCGACAATAAGCCATCGAGGACACACGCAAACGCACACGCACCGAAAAAGCTGGACGGACTGGGAATGCAGGGATAATAGACAAATAACAGTTTCCCTGCGGCATTTAGCTGGCTTTCACCTCCCCCAACTTTCGCCACTTTCTTTCCTTTCCTTTCTCTTTTCCACCCCACTTCCTTTGTGTAATGAAGACAGCGCGTTTGCCATTTGCTAAGCCATACTTACGCTTGTTGACAATTGCTCCGCCGGACAATGCTCGCCGGATTGGGGGGGTCAAATATGCAAAGGACGGCGAAGGCGGGGGCAACTGGAACCGGACACAATGGATAACCCGGGCTCCTTTTATGGCGGCCCGCCTAGATTAGCTTTTTATTGCCGGTATTAATTGCTATTAGTCGAAGTTAATAAACTTGATAAAGCAATTTGGCATTTGGCATTTATTGTGCCGGGGGCTATGATTGGTGGCTGGCCATAAAAATGGCGTCAGGATTTGCATTAGCTTTAATCAGGATGCGAGCACCCACCGTTCGCAATACCTCACCATCGCTCGCTCTGTCGACGCCATGTGGCGCTGAAATTGCGATATTAGTTAATTTGGCTTTGAGCCCTTGGCAGGAGCCAAATGAAATACGAGCTTGCATTGCGGTCTTTCAAGGAGCCAACCCTTACACTGGGATACAAAATGTACAACAATAAAGCTAATGCTTTACTTTAAATAAAAAGCAATAATGTTTTAATGTTTCTAGTTTTTGTTTTTCACATAGTTTAGTATTTCTAACGGATCTGTAGACAAGATTACACTTTTATGTAAAGTGCTATTCACAATAAATGATAAATTAAATTAAAAATGTATTTTTTTTTAAACGAAGAAACAAATAAAGGTTTACTGTTTAGACAAAAGCATTGTGTCGGTAGATAACTATAGCTCAATTTTTCTTTTTAAGACAGAAAGTAAAGCCTTTTGCATAATAGTTTTTAGTTTTAAAAAGTTTGATTTTGCTGTTATAACATTATGCATTGTTTTAATAATTGAACAATGTTTAATATTGTAAACAACTCTTTGGCATGCATAAAAATCAGTAATAAATACAGCAAGTAAGGCGAACATATTTAAAACCTTATACAAGCGAAGGCAGTTTGACAAGAATCTTAGAAAAATATAATTTTCTTAAGTGCAGGGGTCTGTGATTTTGGGGTGTGCGGGAAATGCTGCATGCAAATCAGAGCCGCTCCAGAGCAGTGCCACCTGCCAAGAAGCGTGTCGCTCAGCAGGTGTCAAAAGCGAATGTTGTCGACGTCGTCGTAGTTTCCCATCTCCCTTTCCACCCCCTGGCACCCAAACACCCCAAACACTCCCAACACCCAAACACCCCCACCCCCTAAGCCCTGCTGTGAGCTCGATCCCCCGCAAAGGGCTGTTTAGCTCATTCACATGCGGTTTAGTCAAAGCGGCGACGTGAGGCAATGCAGCCAAAGCAAACCATCATGCGAAATTCCAAGGCGCAGGACAAATCTTTTGACGGCAGAGTGCTGCACCTGAACGAACAGGAGCACTGCATGCAGCGGTGACAGCAGCCCAGGAATCACACGGAGCAGCCAAACACCTCCTGCCATAATAAGCATTTGGGCAGCACAAAGGCTGGGATCCTTCAGTCAAAATTGGGCCACTACTTCGGCTTTTGGTGCCTGAAAAGTTCAAGAACAGGCTTCAGAAAGGTCCTTCAATACTTCTCTTTGGTATTCACAATATAAAAATAAGAGCTCGCTTAAGCAGCAAAGTTTTGCTTTCTCCTTAGAGCTTTTAATTCTACAGCAGGATATTTGCAAGCAAAAATACTGGTTTAATTCATCATCGGGACTTTTAAGACTTTTTAAGACTTAACTTAAGTATTAATACTTCTGAGCTTACAAAATATAAATAAATAAACAATCGGAACTAAATAGAAAACAAATTTTAAATGAGTTTTCGGCTATTAAAAGGCTATATTTCTCCAATACCTTATGCCAGACTTAAAAGAACAATGTTATTTCTATCAAAGGTCTATGGCAACTTTTAAAGCCCATTCAAGCAGTTCAATGAACTGTATCCACTGGCTGTCTGTAATAATCAACTAATTCCACTATCAAACGGACTTAAAAACTTTCACGAGCATCAGTAACAGATTCCACACCATCAGCTGCACTTTTGGCTTTAAGCTCTGGCAAAACCCACTTAGTATGGCCACCAGAGAAAAAAGGCAGCTCGCAAATCGCGTTGCTAGTTGACATGGAAAATGTCTGGGGTGTGCGCTGAAAATATTGTTGTCAGGAAAGTTAATGATTTATAATGCTGATGTCGGGCATTCGTCGCCATCGCCAGTTCCGATGGGTTGAGTTCGGTTCGCAACCATGGTCCATGGACTCAGTCATGCGAGGAGAACCCCTCAAGCCAGCCGGCGAAGCGAGCAACTTGTACAAAAATTTTTCACACTTGCCAGCAGCAAAAAAGGCGAGTGAAAAGTTTAGAGGATGCGGTCGATGGGGGTGGATGGGGAGGATGATGGGGGATGGAGGGGCGCCGCCTTTCACCTTGGGGACCTCTTTAAAGATTAACGATGCCGCATATGCCTACAGGTCATAGCTCGGCCAATGGATGTGGCGTGCACAACAAAAGCACGCCAGACGCTTGAAATTGTTGCATTTTCATTTCCCCCCTGAAAGCAAACTGGCAATGACATCGGCCACAGACGCAGGAGCAGAAGCAGAAGCAGAAGCAGAAGTGTCTGTGGAGCGGCCATGTCACCGCAGACTTTGACATACATTTATTTTTATTATTTACGATGACTTAGTCAGCCAGGCCCAGCCCCACTCGAACCAGCCAACCAGACTCGGTCACGGCTGGGTCCTATCTGGAGCTTTTCATCTTTAATTCTTTAAATAGACGGGCAGGGTCGAGTGGAATTGGATGCGAACGAGGCTGAAACTGAATCTTTTACCAAAGATGGCACGGAAAAAAATTATATAATTAGCTCAAACAAATTTAAGTTAGTTAGCTATACAGCTTAATTTAAGATATTAGTATTTTGGTAAGACAGTTTTAAAACGCACTTTAAAATTATTTTAATAAAGATTTGACAGGCCAATTTTGATTTTATTCATTTGGATTTCAACATTAAGATGTTGTATGCTAATTTAGATTTTGATTACAAATCTCACTCAAATCTTTTTTCTCAGTGCAACTGGAATCAGTTGCGTTTTTGTGCCCACCTCCCCAGCTTGATAGCCTTTTGTCTGAGTGCCACATTTATGTGGCAGAGGCTACGTGTATGCCTTGGTGTCGTTTATCATGATTTACTTACCGCCACGCACTTCACATGTCAACACAATATTATCGCCCTCGAGCAATGGACCCACAGCTCCAGCAACATCGCGACCGGAGGCATCGTACACGAGTATTTGATGCGGAGGAACTGCAGGGAAGAGCGGAGAAAGTAGGACTTTCGTTATAAAAAGGATGCACTAAGAAAAGTTAGATCTATTATTCGGGAAAATTGATCATAATTGTATTTAATTAATGCATAGTAATACACCGTTTTGAAGTATTAAAAAAAAAAATTAGGGTTCTGCAGAAAACACGATTGATTTTGGATAATTTATAAAGCTTTCTAAGACTATGCAATACAATTTATTTTTAATCCATTGTTCGTATTTTTCATGGACATCTTTAACAAAATATATTAAAATTTAGTAATTTCTTTGGCACGCTCTATTAGTTGATTTTATATTATTTTTGTAAATTGTTGAATTAAATCTTAAATGTTTAAAATCTGTTCTATGATAAACGATAAAGTAATCCGATTTTTAATAATTTGGATTTTACGTAAAAATATACAAGTATGATTGGTATTTTGTTCTTAGCAAACAACATAGTTTTTCCAATTTACACACACACAATAGGTATTTCTTAGAGTGTATGTAATAGTACAGGGCTCAGAGCTTTCTTTAATGGCGGTGCACTGCCTTTCGGGTACTCACCAATAACCGTTAAGTTAATTCTATGATTACGCGTGGGCGAGTTCTGAAAGTCGACGCGGCAGCGGTAAACCTGTTGAGGAAAGCCAATAAAAAACGTACAATAACATAGCACAGTTTTCGGGTGGTAATGGTCCAGCTTGAGCCACTTACGCCCTCGTCATCCAGTTGAATGTTGTCCACCGATAACTTGGCCGGCTGCTGTCCGGTAACGAAATACGCACGTGGCCCAAATGAGTTGGTATCCGACCAGTACAGGGCCTTCTCGAAGGGTCGTCCTCGGACGTCGAAGCTGCAAAAGGAAAAAAAGAGCGGAAACGTTAAAAGTTGCCTAAGTAGTTCCTCCTTCGTTATCTCCATCTAATTGCCGCAGGGGAAATGCAAAAATATAAGTAAATAAAGGGAAATAAACCAAAATATTGACGATAAGTTGTGTCAGCAAGTGGCTCCAAGAGCATTTCAGATGTCGCAGTCAAGGTCATAAATTTTAATGCGATGTGAAAGTTTGCAATCGGCTATGACCGCAGGGGTTGACCTTATGTTTTGAACATACAAAACGGATCTTCCTTATGGGGTGGAAATGATTTAAGTCAATGTCCCTATGCGGTAGACTGAAAGTATTTTTTTCACTATTTAAAGAAAAAATCTATCCAGTTAATGTTCAGCAGCCTAGGTATGTTGCTGACTTTGATTAGTTTGTTAGTAAATTTTCAGTATGTAGAGTCAAACATTTTGTACAAATACTTTCTATATTTACGATTTAAGTTTGAATAGTAATTATTTTGATAATGAAATTCAAAGTAATAATTACACATAAAAATATACACAATATTTTGTTGGTTAGTACTACTATTACTATTACTTTTTAGCTATTACTCTTTAGCTAACTGAGGACTGAGCTACATAAAAAATAGAATTTAGTGCCATAAACCTGAAATGAACTTCAAATGCGGTTCTCTATGGTAATGCTAAGTAGTCATAAAAAGGAAAATGGAATGAAACCAGAGAATGAACGGACTATGGGCCAGAACATGCCACTTAACACTTAAGCTAAGCTAAAGTCTGGGAAACTGAAAGCATACATAGTTGCTAGCCAGGTAGCTGGTAGCCAGGTTTGTATAAAGTCTGCTGTAAAACCTCAAGAGAGGCCACTACATAAACCCTGCAACTTATTGGACCGACATGGGCTGTTATTTCTCGTGCCAAGCATAAATATTGAATGGAAAATTGTAAAAAACGACACGCTCCAAAGTGGCCTGGGCCTGAATTTTCACGCGTCTACAAAATGACCCTTTTCCTGTGCCCGATGACCCGCGGAGCCAAGGGGTCGACAAAACGAGCCCCGAGCATAAATTTGCACGCAACTAATTTCTTCCGTTTCGCATTATTTTCGCAGCCCAGCACAGAACCAGCAAACGTTTGCAATTTTGCGCATTAAAAAGCCTGACGTGCTATCTTTGGCGCTTTTATTGTATTTGTTAATGTCCGTCTAAGGGCTTTGGACGTCCTGGAGGGTAGGTTGCCACGCCCCCCCCGCCCTCCGACCCGGATCCCCCAGCGACACGCCGTAAATGACTTGGCGGTGGCAAAGCTTTCCCACAATTCTTTTTATGACACTCAAAAAAAAGTACTTTGTTAACTTAGAACAATATGTTTTACCTTTCAATGTCAGACTTGAAACTGGTTGAAATATTGAAATTAAATTACTACATTTCTTCTCTTTTGTTTTTGTTTTTCAATATGTGCTTTTTTATTGAAAAAACATTTTTTTTTATTAAAAGTTAATTTAAAAATGATAAGTTTAGGTATAACTTATTTATTTATGTTTTTAAAAATGCTGTTTAATGTTTTAAGAGACGCGAATAACAATATTGGACAAAACTGTATATATTTATATTATAAATGGAAAATAACATAAACAAATTTTAAAATGTAGAAATATTACGTATTCGAAAAGCTAACCAGCTAGAATAGAGACTATTTCATCTTTTGTACTTTAATTTTATGACATTTTGTTATTTATGAAAAAAAATACGAGTTTAGGAATTAGTAAAAATAGTTGATAGTGACAAATAATTGACATTTAGAGCTTTTAATTATTTTATTATAATTTATTAACCAAGCATTGAATCGTGGCGCATATTTTTAAAATTGAGCTAAATATTTTTGGTTTGGTGTTTGAAATATTTTTCTTTGAGTGCCGCTTTCTAGTGAACCACACACCAGCACATCGTCTTTGCACAGTCATAGCCAGTTGTGTCCTTTTGTTGTTTCCGCTGTCGTCGTGCAGTCTGTGCTATCTGTGGGTCCTTTCCCCGCCCCCTCTTTCCCCACCCCCTAAACCCCTGTCCCGCTGTCCCACCAGCCAGTTGCGGTTAGCGGAGCGGTTTGTCATTGTGCCGGCTGGCAGGATTCTTCGCGGCCTCCGCCCGGCGGCCGTATTGTTTGCGCCTTTAAGTGGTTTTTTATCATTTTGCCGCTGACACAATTTATATCCGGTGCTCATATTTCTTATGCTTATCACTGGGACTGCCTCCGTCTTCTCCTTTCTTCTCCCCCTTTCTCCACTCGCCTTTCGCCATTTCTCCGTGGCCTTGTCATGTGTTTGGCCATTCCTCTAATTGTGTTCAAAGTGCAGTAAGCCATGCGGCGAATAAATTGAGGCTCCTAAGCCTTGCCCAAGCCCGGGGCACGTTCCCTAATTAGCCAAATTAAATATATGCGCGAAAATGTAAACATAACGGACTGCGGAGTGCGGAGAACTCCTTGGGAAATTTCCTTTTAAAAACTGCGTTTCAGGTTCTCGCTTTCCCCAGTTTTGCCCAGCTTTGCCCAGCTTTCCCTCCGCTTTTCGCCGCTTTTCCCGCTTTTAATTTTGCGCATTTGCAAACAATAGAGAAACGCCGAATAGTCAACAAAGGCGGAGGAGCAATGGCGATAAGGCAAGGTGGAATGGAGTTTCCTTTTCCGACACCGTCACCCAAATATGTCCAGAATACGTCGGTCTTGGTCCTGGCTCGCCTTGCCCTCTGTTGACGTTGTGTTTTCCCGTTGTTGGCCTTAGGAAACAATAATGCCAAGTTTGCACAATGAGCAGAGCAGCAAAGCAGCAAAGCGGCAAGAAAACTGCTAAGAGCAGGGGACGTCGAAAAGGGCAGAAAACAGAAAAATAAACGCCAAATTGTAAAGCAGCCAAACAGGGAAAAGCAAACGAGTAGCAAGGAGCAAAATAAAAATGAGCCAAGCCAAGAAAGGAAGACAACATTGTGGCAGTTGCAGAAATGTTGACTGTCGTCGCAGAGCGGGGTACGAGAATGAGGGGACGGGAGAAAGTCGACGTAGAAAGGCCATGGGATGGAGAAAGAGCAGGAGAAAGTCCGGCAATAGTAGGAAAGCATAGGAGACAAGTGGACGCAACCACGCGACGTCCACTTGAAGAGATTGCGCTGCACTCTTCAAAAAAAAGTTGTACAATAATGAGAAGATAATTATATTATTGAAAATTCAAAATAAAAAAAAGTTTGGAATTATTTTAAAAATAAAAATATAACTATACCACACTTTAGAGAAATTGGTTAACAATAAAGTCATGAAAAACTTTAAAATGCTTAGAAATATTTATATATTTCATTTTCTTGCTACCCATCCTAATTAGGAAACCATTTCATTAACGTTTTCTAATTAACACATTATTTTCTGTGAGTGCATCTATCGCATTCACATTGGTCTTCTTCCACTCACCCATTCTTCTACTTTTCCTTTGTCGATGGTCTGTTTTTTTTCCAACAATTAGTTGAGTTTTATTTATTTTGCGTTAATTGGTAGCACTTTATCTTGGGCCGAGTGAATGAGCTGCGTTCTTTAAACAAATCCCGATGCGAGACGGACCTTGAACTGGGCATCGCATGGGTTTGCTCTGGTAATTACGCTCCGGTTTTTTCGGTGGCCTGGCATAAACTTTGACCGCCACGCCCCCGCCCATTTAGTATTCGCAACCGACGGTTCCCGCCCCGAAATCCAATATCAAAGCAAGCTTCTCATATTGCCATTTAATGTTTTTTCTTTTTGTTCGCTCCTCAGTTTGTAACGCTTACAAAATCCTATTCAAAAAGATTGCAAAAGGGCTACGACGGGGACGGGCCAGGAAAGCTCAAAAAAAAAAAAAAATATAATAAAAAAGGACCGAAAACTTTTGCACTCACAATATCCATTGAATAATTTTATGACAATATGTGTCAGAGCGTGTCGCTGTGCGCGTGTGTGTCCATGTGTGTGTCGGTATTTTCTGACAGTTTAAACAGATGCTGCTGTCGTGGGAACGCTTTTGGCAGAGATTTCGTTCCCGACTGCCATGTACTCATGACAATTGACTGGAAAATCTTAAATGTGCCTTGAAAGTGGGTTAAAACTATAAGACTTTTTTGAAAAGTTGTGTTTGTAATAAAGGCAGGTGCACCAACAGCTTTATATATTTACTCAAAAAATCACTTAGCTTATGAAAAATGAAATAAAGAAATCAATTGGTCTTGCTCATATAAAATATATTTGTGCATACTTTTAGACACCTTTAAAAGTGATTCAATGTATTTAACAAAAGCTTAACTTTGGTGCAAGGAGCGATTGCACCAAGATGCGCTTTTATTTATTTATTACGATTTTTGAAAAGCCAACTTAAGATTTTTTTTTGGAGACCTAATATTAAAAATATAGACTAAGCCGTATTTATGTGAGACCCAGCCATATCAACCTTCTTACAGGGTACATAAATTGTGGAATTCAACTATGCATCGCTTGACAAAGGCAATAAACTATAAGGGCATGAGGGTCTGCCAACAGACGACCCACTTTGGGCGGTTTATCCACATCCACATTCACATCCACGGACAAAATTAGACAGGTGAGAATGGGCTCTCTCACATTGTACACTAGCACATTGTCTGGCGGCCCGTATCAAATTATGCATAAAGAAACCCTATCGCACGGGCGGGAGTTTCCATGATGAAGCGCCAAAAAGTATGCTCCGTAACTCGACAAAAGTGGCAACAAATTTAAAATTGGTTTCCACACACAGCCACACACATCGGGGCAAACAAAAGAAACGTAGCAGCGAGAGAAATATGAAACAATAATAACACCAAAAAAGGGGCTGTTTACACGCCCCCATATACATACAAAAGTATGCAAATGGTTTTACTGCCCCTTTGTTTTTGTTTTGTTTTGTTTTGTATTTTTTTTTCCTTTTTTCACTCTCTCTTTGTGTGTGGGTATTGGTGTTATTATGGAGCCATGCTG